CTGAAGAATTTCTGTTCCTTTAATCTTGCTTGTTTAGACCTGTCTAGAAGGCTTTGTGACCCTCTGACCTAGATTTGAGGTCACATTTTCTGCTGGTGTAGCTGGAAGAGATGACCTCATGTTTTTTTCTGACCTGAAGGCATTAATTCTGAACCTACCTCTCCAGCTTCCTATCACAGTGAATGGCGCCACCATCTGCTCACTTGCATAAATGGGAAACCTAGAATTCATCCCAGATTCCTTTGTTTTCTTTAATTCCTCCTACCTGAATTGGTCAACAGGTCTTGTTCAATCTACAGACTAGCAATCTCTAGGATGTCTTTATTTATTTCTATCTCCACAGCTATTCCCAAAGCCACTATGATCTTTCACCAGGATTACTTGGCCATCAAATGCATTCTTCATCCTGCAGGCTGAAAATGTCAATCTCATCTTTGTTGTTGTTAGGTGCCATCCAGTCAGTACCGACTCATAGCGACCCTATGCACAACAGAATGAAGCACTGCCCGGTCCTGGGCCAACCTCACAATTGTTGCCATGCTTGAGGCCATCGATGCTGCCACATTGCCAACCCATCTTGCTGGGGGTCTTCCTCTTTTTCTCCGACCCTCCACCTTACCAAACATGATATCCTTTTCCAGTGACTGGTCCCTCCTGACAATATGTCTAAAATATGAGAGACAAAGTTTGGCCATCCTGGCCTCCAAGGAGCACTCTGGCTGCATTGCATCCAACACAGATCTGTTGGTTCTTCTGGCAGCGCATGGCACTTTCAATATTCTTCTCCAACACTATAACTCAAAAGTATCAATTCTTCTACGGTCTTCCTTATTTACTGTCCAGCTTTCGCATGCATTTGAGGTTATTGAAAATACCATGGCTTGGGTCAGGTGCACCTTAGTCCTCAAGCTGACATCTTTGCTCCTCAACACTTTAAAAAGGTATTGTGCAGCAGATTTGCCTAATGCAATATGTTGTTTGATTTCTTGACTGCTGCTTCCATGAATGTTGATAGTTGATCCAAGAAGAATGAAATCCTTGACAACTTCAAGTTCATCTTACCCTTCTTTAAAATTCTTTGATGAGTGTCAAGATAAAGCACAAACTCTAATGTAGTTTATAAGGCCTTAGCTTTATCCCACTATTTTTCTACCATTCTCCCCTCACAGTAAACTCCAAACACTGAATTACTTGTTCTACACTAGTCTAAAAGGGAATGATGTGGCTCTGTAGGATAAATACTGGGCTGCTAACCACAAGGTTGGTGGTTTAAGCCCACCAGTCACTCTGGGAGAAATGTGAGGCCGCTTGCTCCTGCTAAGATGTACAGCCTCGGAAACTCCACACAGTGTCAACCCGGAGACCACTGGAGGGCACTTACCAACAGGAAGTCTGGAAAGCACCTCCCACTACTCCTCACTTCCTCAGCTTCTGTTAGTTACGTAGGGTTTGGCTCAGATGTCAAAGTACCTTCTGGGAAAACGTCCTGGGCTTTCTGAGCTTTCACAGCCCTATCTCATACTCTAGAGTTTATGACAGTTCTTGTGGCATTGTAGGATAAACACCAGACTGCTAACTGCATGACTGGTAGTTCAAACCTACCAGTTGCTTTGCGGAAGAAAAATCAGGCTTTCTGCCTCAGATATCCTATTTAGGGTCAATATGAATTAGAATCAACTCGATGGTGGTAGTTTTAATTTTTTTAAAGGCCTGATGATATGCACCCATAATGATTGTTGCTGCTGTTATTAAATGTGTTGAATCAGTTCCTATTCATAGCAACCCTGTATAGGGTTTCCGAGGAGCATCTGGAGGGTTTGAACTGCTGACCTTGTGGTTAGCAGTCCAGTGCTGATCCACAGCACCACACCAGAAGTCTCCCAAACCTATAATGATTACAGCCAAGAAAATCCCTTGGAGCGGTTCTACTCTGTAACACATGGGGTCACCCTGATATAGAATCAGGTTTTGTTTGGTTTTTGGTAGGTGGTACACGGAACTGGAACCAACTCCAAGCCACTTAACAACAATTGTTGTTGTTTTTAGGTGCCATTGAGTTGGTACCCACTCATAGCGACCTCATGCACAACAGAACAAAACACTGCCCGATCCTGGGCCAACCTCACTACTATTGCCACGCTTGAGTCCATCGATGCTGTCACTTGGCCAATCCATCTTGTTGGGGGTCTCCCTCTTTTTCTCTGACCCTCCACCTTACCAAACATGATATCCTTCTCCAGTGACTGGTCCCTCCTGACAATATGTCCGAAGTATGAGAGATGAAGTCTGGCCATCTTGGCCTCCAAGGAGCACTCTGGCTGCACTTCTTTCAACAACTTCACCAACAGATCTATTGGTTCTTTTGGCAGCCCATGACACTTTCAATATTCTCCTCCAACACCATAACTCGAAGGCATCAGTTCTTCTACGGTCTTCCTTATTCACTGTCCAGCTTTCGCATGCATATGAGGTGATTGAAAATACCATGGCATGGGTCAGACGTATCGTAGTCCTCAAGCTGACATCTTTGCTCTTCAACACTTTAAAACGGTCTTGTGCAGCAGATTTGTCTAATGCAATACATCTTTTGATTTCTTGACTGCTGCTTCCTTGAGTGTTGATAGTTGATCCAAAAACAATAGCAAATGGTTAAACCCCCAGGCAATGGTGTCTGATTACCAGGGTTTGAATTCCACTTTGGCCCTTTGCTAGCTGTGACCTAAGGTAAGTGATTTTATTTCTTTATCTTTAACGTGGGTTTTCTTATCTTAACATAGTGGTGGAGTGGATTAAGTGTGGTGACTCAGTGGGTTACATTTGGAGATGCTAACCCAAAGGTCAGCAGTTGGAAACTACCAGCTGTTCCGTGGAAGAAAGAAGAGGCGTTCTGTTCCTGTAAAGATTTGCAGCCTCGGAATCCCTGTGCAGGGTCACTATGATTTGGAACCGACTCCATGGTACTTGACAACAACCCAAAGTTGAGTCCTGGTGTGGCATTGCAGGATAATGCACTGGTCTGCAAGGTCAGCTTGAACTGCAAGATTGGTGGTTCAAATTTACCACCTGCTCCTCGGGTCGCTATGAATCGAAACCTACTGTACGACACTTAACAACAACAACCCAAAGGTCAGTGGTTCAAATCTGTACACGGGAGAACAATGAGGCAGGCTGCTCACATAGCGGTCTCCCAAACCTACGGAATGGTTCTACTGTCTCCTATAGGGGCAATGCCAGTTGGAAAGGTCTGTATGGCAATTGGTGGATTTAGTGAATTGTTACTATGTGGAAATGTAGCTTAAGTATGGCCAGGCTTTAAGATTCTTAGAGAGAAGCTAGAAATCTAGAGGTACATGGTTTATTTATTGAAATGTAAATGCTGGCAAGTAAGTTACCAAACAAATCTGCGGGTTGTCTTTGATCTGCAGACTATCAGTATAGAGTCCTGGTGTGGCGCTGTAGGATAATGCGCTGGACTGAAAGGTCGGTTTGAATCTCAAGATCAGCGGTTCAAATTCACCAGCTGCCCTTCGGAAACCCTATACAGCGTTGCTATGAGTAAGACCTACTCAACTGCACTTAACAACATTTTATCAGTCTGTTGTAGGAACTAAATTAAACCGTGTAAGGAGCTCTGGTAGCGTAGTGGTTACGAATTGGGCTGCAAACCTTAAGGTCAGCGGTCCGAAACTACCAGCTGCTCCGCGGGAGAAAGATGAGGCTTTCTACTCCCGTAAAGATTTACACCCTCGGAAACCCTATACAGGGTCGCTATGGGTCGGAACCGACTCAATGGCACTTAACAACAACAACAAGGCACCTGACAAAGTTAAACATTATTATAGCATAATTGTTGTTGGTAAGTGCAGTCGAGTTGGTTCTAACTCATAGCTACCCTGCATAGGGCTTCTGTACATCTTAGCGGGAGCAGAAAGTCTCATCTTTATAACGTATCACATTACTGAAACTTAAGCTTGTCTCCGGTTCCCCTTTCCCCCATTTCTTAGGTATTGTGTGTTTACACACTTGTGATTTTGTTTTAATGTATACTTTTGTTGCGGTTCTTGTTGTTAGGTGCCATCAAGTCGGTACCGACTCATAGCGACCCTATGCACAACAGAACGAAACACTGCCCGGTGCTGGGCCAACCTCACAGTTGTTGCCACGCTTGATGCTGCCACTTCGCATCACCCTGTAATCTTTTTGTTTTTTTCTCCTTTGATAAGGTGGTGGTGGTGGTTATGTGCTGTGGAGTCAAGTCGGGAGACGCTAACGTACCCAAGCTCGTCACGACTCTGTCCTAGAGCTCGTTGAATACGAACGCCCCCAGGTGGCTCAGGCTCTCTGCAGCAAAGTCAGAGCGAACAAGGTCACACCATTCAAAATTTGAGAGGGGGGAGAAGGACCTTTCTTAATCACGAGCTTGTTTTTGTAAGGTCCCTCCTCTGTCGCTTCCTAACTTCAAACTATATCAGACTCAATGAAGCGAGAAATACAATCGTACTAAAGACAGAGTGAGTAGACTCGACTTCCTTCCCCATCCGAATAATCGCCTTGGTATTTTCTCTTCTCAATTCCCTCTCAATAATGGTATCGTTCGTGGAGGGGAAGAACAGAGAGAAATTAGGAAATCCTGAGGCTTCGGAAGCGATATTAGTATAGGTATTACCCCTCCTGCCCTGGCGCTGTGGTACCTCCCACGATCCTCTGATTGGCTGCGGAGGCCCCGCAGTCGGGCTCCGCCCGCCGTACCGCCCTCAGTACAGCTTCGGCCGCCGCGCCGCCTGGCTCTGGTATCCCTTGTTCTCGGCGGGTTTTGGGGGCTTCTCGGCGTGGCCGTTAGTCATGTCTGGTAGGTGATTCCTTCAGTGAGCAGCGGCAGCGGCGAGAAGGGGCCTGATGGGGTTGGGTCGTCTTCCTGCCCACCAGAGGGCCTCAAGGGAGAGCCCCCGGCCCTGAGGGAGGTTTGAGGTGGGGGGGCGGCTGTGGCTTCGGCCGTCGCCATGTTGGACTGGAGGGACGCGCGATCCCAACGCTCTCGGTCTGCTGATCACGGCAGGAGCGCTTCGGGCCTTATATCTTGGCCCTGTCCTTGGAACCTGAGAAGACGTGCTGCTCCCGGGGGAGGGTGTGTGTGAGTCGGGGGGCGGAGGCCTTTTACGCCATAGTGGGGGCGGGGGGAGCCGTGATAAGAGCATCAGCCTGAGATAATCGGCGCTTTTGGTTCTCCAAGCCACCTCGTCTTTCAGCGAGGCCTCGGGCCAGTCATCTCGTCGCCTCGTACCTCTGTTTCCCCATCTGAAGTGGAACTGGGCCTTCCTGCCTCCCCCATTCATCAGGTGGGGGCCTTGACGCTCTGGGAGCCCTTTCAAAGGACGTTGCTTTGTACTTAAGATCGTACTTAAGAGTTATTCCCTTCGCAGTAACCGCCTGGATTCAAATTGAGGGTGTTTGCATACAAGTCAGCTTCCTTTTCACACACGTACCCTACCCGCCCCCGTGGTTTACAGAGCGTGAAAGTGAGCCCCTTTATTAATAGGCTTCTGCAGGTGCATTAGGCATTCCCCTTAAAACTTGCAGACCAAAGGAAAGGCCGTCTTTCTCCCACGAGGCATTTCAATTGGCAAGGGCCACCCGTTGTGTAAGAGAAAAAGAGGCATTGGTCCCTTCAGGACAGCCAGTGTAGATCCTGCCAAAACAATATAAAGTCTGGAACATGGATGTCCTGGCCATAGAGCAGGCCTGCCTAGCAGTCCACACAAGGGCTTCTCTAAGTCAGGTACCTAACTTGGTAGAAACCATCCTGAGAATTAGATTCTTATTTTTTCAGGTGGAATAGCAGAACATTTTCCAGAGCCATATGGTTGGGATGAAAATGTGTTTGCTGGCAGAATTTTGTACTTTTCTTTTAAAGGACAAACCTTTTTTTTGGGGGGGGGGGCGAGAATAGCACCCCAATCTTGCATAAGGATGGAAATGTGTGACAAAAAAGCAGCAGGCTGAGAAGAGTCCAAATTAACAAGAGTGATTGGAGAGGAGAGTGATATACATGATTCGTTCTTTAGTATTGATGTAAGAAACCAGAATATTAATCTCTTGTGGGCCCATCTACCTGGTCTAAGAGACTGTTAAGGTGCCATTGAGTTCGACAGCCCCAGTGACTCTTTAGGGTTTTCAGGGAGAGACTAGTGAGATTGAACCACTGACTTTGGTTCAAATCTATCTTGCGGTCTAGTGCTTTATCCCACACCACACAGGACTCTGTTTACCTCTTCATGCAATATCTGTTTAGTCCTTTCTCTCCTACACAGAATGATTTCTTAACCCAAACTAGACAGTGGTACACCTTTTACTAGTGGAATGAAGCCTGATAAAACTCATAGAAATATATTCTCAGGATACAATTAAATAACCAAAATCATGAAGAAATTGACCCAGTTTCAGTGGATATTGTTGTTAAGTGCCATTGAGTCAGTTCGGACTCATAGCAACCCTGTATAGGGTTTCCAAGGAGTGGCTGTGAGTTTGGACTCAAACTGAGTTGCGATTCAAACCAACCTTGTAGTCGAGTGCTTATCCTATAGCACCACACCAGGACTCCCTGTCTTGTTTTGAACATAGCTCTGTGTGGCACTGTAGGATAAGCAGTGGGCTGCAAAGGTCAGTTTGAATTGCAGGGTCTGTGATTCAAACCCACCACCTGCTCCTTAGAGACACTATACAGAGTCGCTGTGAGATGGAACCGATTTGATGGCACTTAACAACAACAGTGGTATGAAAAGGACTTCTGGTATGGTGCTATAGGATAAGTAGTGGACTACAAACCACAAGGTTGGAGGTTCAAACCCACCAACTGCATCTCAGAAACCCTATACAGGGTTGCTGTGAGTTTGAAACCAACTCAACTGCACTTAACAATAAATTGGTATAAATGGGTCCTGATGTGATGCTGTAGGATAAGCACTAGATTGCTAACCTCAAGGTCAGTTGTTCAAATCCGTCAACCACTCCTCAAAACCCCTACTATACAGGGTCACTATAAGTTTGAAACCAACTCAACAATAATATTGGTGTAAAAGTTGATGGTCAGCTGCTCTAGGGAGAAAGGTGAGAGGGTCAGCTTCAGTAAAGATTACAGCCTTAGAAACTAGAAAGCATAATATTCTCTACAAGGCAGCTATGAGTCAGAATTGACCCTTGACAGCATTGGATTTAGTTGGTTTTTATTGGTATAAAAAATTGTTTTTTTAATGGGGCTGAGCTGGAAAGTTTTGATTTAAATGAAAAATGTACGATTTGTAAAATTCAGGTTTTCCAGTGTATGTTTGTGAGCTGGTTTTCACAAAACCACACTAATGTGTGTGTAAAAATAATACTTTTGACTATGTATAATGCTTTGTTCTTTGGTGAATGTTTAAATTAATAAATTTAACCGAGTACATTCTTAGATAATGCCATTAGCAAGCCTAGTTAAAGTTCTTTTAAACATTCCAAACCACACTTAGATATTTAATCAAATTGACCCAAACACTATAAATGCCTGACAGATAGATGTATAAGACTTAAGTATTCAGTATATAAATCAAAATCGTAAATAGCAATTATGTATATGGAAATCACAAAGTCAAGATACTTTTTCATTCTGATAATATGGCAGACCAAAATAATTGGGAAATCCTCCATCACCAAATATCTAGAAATGCAAGAACTTACAAAAAAGGCAGGGAAAGTCTGAGGTGTGAAAATAAAGCAGGAAACTGCATGGTAAGTATAGAGCTAAATTGGTGACTGGCTTGGAAGGGAGAGGGTGTAGGTCTCTAAGACATAGGTTTTAATGCCCACTGGCTATGTCGGGGCAGGAGAGAAAGCCTTGAGACCATTGTTGTTTGACTCCTAGTGACCTGTATAGGGTTTACACAGGAGTGAATGGCTGGTGATTTTGAACCGCCCACTTTGCCTTCCTTAACATAAAACCTGAATGTTTGGAGTACTGTACCTTGAGTAAAGAATGAACTAGGAAAAAACTTTCTTACCAGCATGAGAAGTAACAAGGAAGCCTCCACTCTGAGTGAAAAAGAAAAGTCTTCCCTGATAATTTGTAACCCAGAACTTGTGTTTTACACAATTTGAGTGTGTATCCACACTACTTAGTCTGCTCAGGAAGCCTTAAAATCAAGAAACTAGCCCAAAATTGGTTCTGGTCTGGTATTGCTCTTGGTTCCTGGCAGAAACAAATGAAAAACCTTTTCTAAGGAAATTCTCACAGAAAAAAAAAAAAAAAGAAAGATATTTGTAGAATTCTAGGACACAGTTTACCAAGATGAAAATGACAAACAGGATTAGAACACGTAAGATAATCTGAAAAAGAATATTAAAATTTTTTAAGCTCAAAAAATTAAAAAGCCTAAAAGCAATTAACCCTAAGACCAATATTATTTTAAAAAGACCACATGAATTTGAGAAAGCGCCAGTAAGAATTTCTGAAAATGGAAAAAGTGGGTAAGTTAAATAGTAGATAGACATGACAGAAGTAGTGAAGTGGAAGATGTTAAGTGCCGTTGGGTCAGTTCCAACTCATAACGACCCTGTTTAGGGTTTCTGAGGAACAGCTGGGGATTTTGAACTGTCAGCCATGTGGTTCAAACTGACCTTAAGGTCCAGTGCTTGCTTATCCTACAGTGCCACTCCAGAACTCCTAGGTGGAAGATATATGTTATCTAATTTCCTAGAATGCAATTCAGAATGATTAAGAAATATAGGAAGTAGATTGAGAAGTCCTGTACATCTAATAATAAGTTCCACAAGGAGAAAATGGGAGTAGTTGAAAAATTTCCAGAATTACTGAAAGATGAATCTTGGATCAAGCGCTAGTTGCAAACAAAAATAAATTTATAGACATACTGATGTGAAGCTGTAGGTTATGAGATACCAATAACAAAAGTACAATAGAGATAAAAAGGTCATCAGTAAGACTGACAGTAGACTTCTCACAGAATCCAGAAAAACAGTGATCCTCAGAATCTAGAGAGGAACTAACCATTGATCTGGAATCTTGTACCTAGATAATGTGATACAAAAAGATTAAATACCACTCAGGCCTTTACTGGAAGAACCAGTAGAGGAAATTAAATCCAAAGAGAGGAGTGGGATGCAAAAACAACATAGGGGAAGGAAACACGGTAAAAGCAAAAACTGGCTGCATAGAATATTGAAGATAAAAGTGATTAAATTTAGAGGTTAAAAATGAGTTGGAACCAAATTAATGGGGGAAGGATGTGATTGATATTGGAATAAGTGCTGTCTAGTCCTCTAGTCAGTTCTGACTCACAGGGACCTTGTATAGAGTTTCCAAGGAGCAACTGGTGGGTTTGAACTGCTGACCTTTTGGTTAGCAATCCAGTGCTTATCCTGCAGCACCATTAAGACCTATATTTAGTGGAGGTTAAGGATAATTTTTAGCTTTGTCAAGAGTGCATATTTAAAATGGAACACATTAAAGGAGCAGAAATTGAATTTTTAACTTATAAAGCAAGGAGCTCTGGTAGCGTAGTGGTTACGAATCGGGCTGCGACCCTTAAGGTCAGTGGTTCGAAACTACCAGCTGCTCCGCGGGAGAAAGATGAGGCTTTCTACTCCCGTAAAGATTTACACCCTCGGAAACCCTATACAGGGTCGCTATGGGTCGGAACCGACTCGATGGCACATAACAACAACAACAACAACAAAGCAATAGGAGTCCTGGTTGGTGCTGTGGGTTAATGCGCTAGACTGCAAAGTTGGTTTGGACCACAAGGTCGGTGGTTCAAGCTTACTAGCTGCTCCTTGGAAACCCTCTAAAGGGTCGCAACTGACTCAACAGCACTTAACAACAACAACAACAACAACAAAGCCATAGAAAGGATAAAAATAAAGAAAATCCCAACAGGAAAATAGGATGGGAATGAAAAATAAAATAGTGATTATAATAGTATGAAAGCATCAATTAAAAGACAAAAGCGGGGAAAAATGATCTCCATTTAAAGCAAGAAATGTTCAAAGTAAAGAGATGGAAAAAGTTGAAACAGTAATACTAACCAAAAGGAAGATTATTTGTAAGTTCTGTTACTAGTCAGTCTTGGCATTTTTAGTAATAGTCTTCATGTAATGTTAAATAGAAATTCACCAGGAAGATATTAAAAGTTTGTACTTTTATAAAATTACCAAAAAAAGAGAAATTGACAAATTCATGATCAAAAGGGAGATTTTAAACACACTTGAGTAATGTATCAGGCAGGTTGCCCCTGTATTAGGAAGGATATGAATGATTAAAACTAACAAACATGATATAACTAACAGATTTAACAGAATTCACTTAACAGTACACCATGCTTTCCAGACACTTAGGAGGCATTCATAAAAGTCTAGTGAATCCTGTGGGAGCCAGAAATTGATGAGACTTGTTTTTTTTTGGCTCAAGTTTTTAGACTTTGACAGTGCAGCCTTAACACTTTTCATTTGCTCATTTTAGTGAAAAATATTTGCATTTCCTTCTCTGACAGATCTTAGACATTGTCCGAGTGATAGGGAGTAAAACCAAATCGTAACACATACCAAAGAATAGTATAGAAAATAGATTTTTTTTGTTTTAACAGTGGGGTTGATTAGATACAGTAAAGAAAACCCTGGCATGTGGAAATTTAAAAGCACTTCTCAATGGTACAATCTTAAGGCTTAGTGTCTGGTATGCTCATAAATGAACAATTGTTTGAGATGTCTTAATAACATACAAACTGGTTTTCTTGGAATATAAGACATTTGCATTTTGATAATAGTATACCACAGGCCAGACTTGTTGATATGCTTTATTTCTAGTATCTTCTCCCAATTTTAATATTGCAGGCTGAAGGAGTCACATATTTCAGGAGAGCTGGGCTAACTTGGTTGTTGTGTACTGTCCATGCCAACTCATAGCGACCTCTAGGACTAGGTAGAACTGCCCTATAGGGTATTGTAGGCTGTAAATCTGCAGGAGCAGGTTGCCTGGTCATTTCTGCCATGAAATTGCCAGCTGAGTTCAAACCTTGGACCTTTTAATGAGCAGAAGAGCTCTTCCTTAGTCTTTGTGCTACTATCCTTGGGTTAAGGTTAATCCTAGTACCTTATCAGATTTGAGATAGAGTCACATGGCCTAGGTGCTTCTAAGTTAATGGAATGGCACTATAGGATAAGCACTGGATTGCTAACTGCAAGGCTGGCAGGCAGTTCAAACCCACCAGCTGCCCCCCTTGGAAATCCTATAAAGGGCCTCTGAGTCAGAACCGCTATGACAACAATTAATACCACCATCAACAAAGGGAAATCATAGGAACACTGGTGGTGTTGTTAGAGGGTTAAACGTTGAACTGCTAACTCCTAAGTCAGCAGTTTTAACCTATCAGTTGCTCTGTGGAAGAAGAATAAGGCCGTCTACTCCTGTAAGGATTGATAGCCTTAGCAGTTCTACTCTGTCTGATAGAGTCCTGGTGTGGCGCTGTGGGTTAATGCACCTGACTGCAAACGCATTTAAACTGCAAGGTAAGCAGTTCAAGCTCACCAGCTGCTCCTCAGAAACCCTATACAGGGTCACTATGGATCGGAACCAACTTGACGGCAATTAACTCTATCGGATTGGGTTGTTATGAGTCAAAATTGACTCGGTGGCAGTAGATTTGAATTTAATTTTTTTGAAAGGGAAATATGCTGAAATCTTTCTTATAAACTGGCTTGTGCATCTATCTGGTATCTTGTTTTATTTTTCAACAACAACAAAATATTTTCAGTCTTTGCTTTGGGTGAATTTATTTAATTTGATGGATGCAGCTAATCTGTGGTCCAACTGATAGAGCATCTTTCCCCTATTTGGTGGTTAGCTGTAATTCTGTAATTTTATTATTGTGGTTGTGGCAGTGTAACAGATTTTTCTTTTTCATTTCAGGTAGGTAGCTTTATGCCGTCCTCCACATTCAGAGAAGTAGTTTGTTTCGATTTCTTTTAATAATTTCAAATGTATGATTTAAAAAAAACTCATTCAGTCTGATGGGAGATCGTTACTATCACTGCAGGGAAGTAGCAGATTTGATGTCATCTGCTTATATACCAATGGCAATATCCTCATGGCTTTATAGGAATTGAATAAAAAAGAAAGCCACTGGTGTAATTTGTATTTTGGTGTGTTTATAGAATTGTTTTGACAGCATGTTTTTGTATAAGACTGGATGAGGTTGGGTCCTAACGGTCAGCACTTTTAGATTCTCAGAAGTCAGTCAATTTTTACAACCACAAGAGTATTTCATATGAAGTTACTCTCATACATCACGAAAAAACATAGATCATTTGTCTCTGAGTAGCCTATAAAAGGATATAAAAATTGATATTTACTGGTATTTTGAAGTATTGAAAACTATAGTTCAAATTAGTTTTTCTTTGATTTTTATACATATATTAACCAATGTATGCCTTCCTTGCTAGTTTTAATTGCTAAAATGGTATCTAGAAGCAGGTATTGCTGAGTTTCTAGGCCAATAGAGACCCTGAAAGGTTGGTAAAATTAAACAACTGACTCAATTGCTTGTATCAGTTCTTTGGGACTTCTTTGTTATTGCTGCCAATCAAAGCAATTCAAAGCTTTTGGTGGGAAATTGGAATAGCTTTTGGGGGAATGCAAGTAAATACGATTCTGAGATTTATCTTGTTAAAACGTGGTGTCAGTGCCCCTGTTTACATACCTTTTGCATATAAAGATAGTACATCTTGAATTGGGGATTTTTGTTAAAGGATGGCTTTTCATTGTTTCCCAGTTCATTGTGCTGTTATGACCATTTGGTTCTTATGACCATTAGCACACATTCATAGAATAATAGTTTTCTTTGACTCTAAAAGGCAAATTTTAGATTTCTCTTTGTACATTTTTTTTTTTAATTCTTGTTTTTTATTTCTGTAATTTTTATGACATTTTATGTTTCAGTTGTTGTTGTTAAGTGCCGTCGAGTCGGTTCTGACCCATAGCGACCCTGTACAGGGTTTCCGAGGCTGTAAATCTTTACGGGAGCAGAATGCCTCATCTTTTTCCCGCGGAGCGGCTGGTAGTTTCGAACTGCTGACTTTGCGGTTCACAGCCTGATTCGTAACCACTAGGCTACCATATCCTTCCTAATGTTTCATTTAGAAGAGGTAAAGTTAGCCTTTGAAGAAAGTATGATTTTAATTAAGATGTGATATTCTTCTGTGTTTTAGATTCTGGAAATTACAGTCAGTCCGGGGGTGAGCAGCAAAGGTAAAGTATATGTATATTTTAATAATACTGTGAAAGTGTGGAACTGAGAAAAAGTGAATTTAGTCATACTTCCTTCCTGAGAGTTGGTTGGTATCTTAGTGTCTTAAGAGATAATGGTTCTTCACAGGGGGGAAAGAAAGTTGGCCTGTATAAATAGGTGCTGACATTTTTTTCCCCATTTTTTAAGGGTTTTGTGTGCTCCCTAGAGATTTAAAATAAATCTTGTAGGTAATATAAAGACTATGTTTTCTTTAAGAATTTCTTTGAAGAAACAATTATTAAAGGAATTTAAACACTGAACTGTAACAGATTCCTAAAACATTTCGTATTTTATGGTATGTAATATATTAAGGTACTTGTTTCACTGGTGTGACACTGTAGGATAAGCACTGGACTATGAACCACAAGGTCTGCAGTTTAAACCCACCAGCTGCTTCTTGGAGACCCTATACAGTGTTGCTGTGAGTTGGAACAGACTCAACAGCACTTAACAACAACAATGTGTTTCTTTCAGAACAGATTTTCCTAAAGTACTATGAATAGAAACATTTAGCATATTTTGAAAAATTCTTAACATGTTCACAGTAAAAGAAAAGTCTGTTTTTATGTAAGCGTGTATATGTACTAGGTATCTCTTGCTTACCAGAACTACAAGCTTCAATTCAATGGGTATGTTTTGTAGCTCAGTGAAGATATTCAGAATATAGCATCTCAGACATCCTCTGTCATAAGGTTTCTAAGCTTCATGTAAATAAAATTGATAGTATTTTTTAAATAATATTCTCATAGACTACTCCTAATTTCATAGTAGGCTCATCATATATCTATCAAATGCAGTAACTGAAATATGTATTTAAAAGCAAAGGGATTCTTTTAATATTCTATAACTAAAATGATAAAAACTTTCTGTTTTTTTGCAAATGTATTATTTTATTGGATATTAAAAGGTCATTGTGTATTTCCAGAAAGTTTGTTTCTGATTTGTTAGAATGATAAAATTAAAATTCAGATCTTAGGAAGGTACATTTATTCATTCATTAAGTCAATAAATAATTAAACTCCTACCGTCTATGGGCCAGATTCTGCTACACAGCTCTAAAGATGCAGTGTAATTTCATCCTATGATAAGTACTCTCAATATGTGCATGTTTTAATTGCTGAGGCATTAAACAAGATTTTTAATGTCATACTGATCTTTCCAAGAAATTAAAGACATGTACAATTATAGAAGTAATCTGTCAAAATTGGTAAACTGATCAATGTGTTAACTTGAAAAGTCACTTTTTCTACTGTAGATATTTTTATGGGTCTTGCCATGTTATAAGTATAATTCTTTGGGAATTTTGTACATCAAGTGTTTTGCTTATCTTTTGGAGATTGCTAAAGGAAAGTTTTTGGTATTTGACATTCACGTGGTTTGAAAATGACTTCATTTATGTCTATACTAGCTTACTTTTAATATATTCTTGAAAGAGATAGGCAGCTTGACAGTTTCTCAGAAAAGAAGGTTGTATTTGAGTTGAAAGTAGAAAATAAAGGTAGAATTTTTCATTTACACCTTTAATTCTTGGTGCATTTCTTTTAAGTATTGCATTTTTCTTTTACAGTTATTCTTCCTATGGAAATCAAGGCAACCAAGGCTATGGACAAGCATCATCACAAGTAAGTTGAGATATAAACTACTTTCTTCATAAAGTAGACATTTTTAACTTAAGTAGGTGATAAAATTTGAGTATTTACCTGAATTTCAGGGCTATTCTGGCTATGGGCAACCATCTGATTCTTCATATGGACAGAACTATGGTGGTTACTCCAGTTATGGACAAAATCAATCAGGTTGGACTGGTTTGTTAAATTTTCTATTTTAGAGATTTCAAAATTATAACCTTCATTAAACGGTTTACCTGTTCAATTTTTAGGTTATTCACAGTCCTACGGTGGTGGTTATGAAAACCAAAAGCAGAGCTCTTATGGCCAGCCGTCTTATAATAACCAGGGACAGCAAAACTCGGAATCATCAGGAGGGTAAGGAAACATTGGGTTGGACAGTTGAAATATCTTTTGAGTGTTAGATTTCACCAACAAACTCTTAGTTTTTAGAAGAAGTTGGGTTTTTTTTTTGGTTTTGCTTTGTTTTTTAATTTGTTTTTATAAAATTACTGTTTAGTTGTAAATGAATGCTCATGATTTAAATGTTAGAAAAATTTGGACCTTTTCCTTATATGTGAGATTAAATAAAAACCTGTCTGTAAAATGAGACTTTTCGTATATACCTTTTTATCTTAACTTTCTTTTTGAACTATTTGGTTGTATTACTTTTTTAGGGATAAAAATTTAATTTAAAAAAATGCCAAAACCTTTCCATATATCCACATATGTAAGATCCCCTAAAATATGTTTTATTTGGTAATATGTTGTTGTTAAGTACCAAAGAGAGGTGACCCAACGGAATGCAGAAATCATTGGACAATCTCTTTGATATCTCAAGCGAGTAAAGTTTTGCTCAAGGTAATACAGAAACGGCTAAAATCATACATTGACAGAGAACTTCCAGAGGTTCAAGCTGGATTCAGAAGAGGCTGTGGAACGAGAGATATCATTGCAGATGTCCAATGGATCTTGACTGAAAGCAGAGAATATCAGAAGGATGTTTACCTATGCTTTATTGACTATGCGAAGGCTTTCGATTGTGTGGATCATGACAAGCTGTGGACAACATTGAGAAGTATGAGTATTCTAGAACACTTCATTGTACTTCTGAGAAATCTGTACTTGGACCAAGAGGCAGTTGTTTGAACAGAGCGTGGGAACACTGAGTGTTTTAAAATTGGGAAAGGTGTGCGACAGGGTTGTGTTCTTTCACCGTACTTGTTCAATATGTATGCTGAGCAAATAATACGAGAAGCTGGGTTCTATGAAGGAAAACGTGGCGTCAGGATTGGAGGAAGACTTATTAACAACCTGAGATATGCAGATGATACAACCTTGCTTGCTGAAAGTGAAGAGGACTTAAAATATTTACTGATGAAGATCAAAGAGCACAGCCTTCCATATGGATTACAACTCAATGTAAAGAAAACAAAAATCCTCACCACTGGATCAATAAACAGCATTCTTATCAATGGAGAAGAGATTGAAGTTGTCAAGGACTTCATTCTTCTTGGATCAACTATCAACACTCACGGAAGCAGCAGTCAAGAGATCAGACGACGTGTTGCATTGGGCAAATCTGCTGTACAGGAACTTTTTAAAGTATTGAAGAGCAGAGATGTCACCTTGAGAACTAAGGTGCGCCTGACCCAAGCCATGGTATTTTCAATAACATCATATGGATGTGAAAGCTGGACAGTGAATAAGGAAGATCGTAGAAGAATTGATGCCTTTGAGTTGTGGTGTTGGAGAAGAATACTGAAAGTGCCATGGACTGCCAAAAGAACCAATAGATCTGTTTTGGAAGAAGTGCAACCAGAGTGCTCCTTGGAGGCCAAGATGGCTAGGTTTCGTCTCTCATACTTTGGACACATTGTCTGGAGAGAACAGTTGCTGGAGAAGGATATCATGCTGGGTAAGGTGGAGGGTCAGAGGAAAAGAGGAAGACCCCCAACGAGATGGATCAGCCAGGTGGCATCATTGATGGTGTCAAGTGTGGTGGCGGTAGTGAGGTTGGCCCAGGATCGGACATTGTTTCGTTCTGCTGTGCATGGGGTCGCTATGAGTTGGTTCCGACTCGATGACACCTGACAACAACAACAAGTACCATCGCGTCTGTTCCGACTCATAGCAACCCTGTATAGAGTTTCTGAGGAGCTGCTGGTGGGTTTGAACTGCTGAACTTTTGGTTTGCAGTCCATTGCTGATCCTACAGCGCCACACTAGGAGTCCTGTTTGTTAATATAGCTGGATGAATATTTACTAAAAGTTTTTTTTTTCCCTTCAAATTTTAAGAGCCTGTATTTGTTACTAATTTTGATAATAGTAACTTCTTGTTATGTGCCGTGGAGTCGATTCCGACTCATAGCAATCCTGTACAGGGTTTCTGAGGCTGTAAATCTTTACGGGAGCAGAAAGCGTCATCTTTCTCCCACAGAACAGCTGGTAGTTTCGAACTGCTGACCATGAGATTAGCCTGATTAGTAACCACTACGCTACTAGAGCTCCTTGTGCTTTAAAGTTTTATGAAATACTTGTTTCTAGCTTAATTTATCTTCAGATACCACTGTGAGATTTGTTGTTGTTAAGTGCTTTTGAGTTTGTTGACTGACAGCAACCTGGTATAGGGTTTCTAAGGAATGGCTAATGGGTTTGAACTGCTGACCTTGTGGTTAGCAGTCCAGTGTTTATCCAGGCCCCTACTGTGATATAATGTCAGTAATATATCCTAATTTTACAGAGAGGCAAAGGAAAGGTTAATTTTACATATTTTTATTGTGGTTTGGGCAACATTTATAGAGCAAATTCGTTTTCCATTCAACAATTCATACGTGTATTTGTTTCATCATATTAATTGCAGTTCCATCAATGTAGTAGCATTCTTCCCGCTACCTCTCTGGGTGTCCTGTTTCCATTCATATTTCTTTCCTGCCCCTCCCTGAAAAGGTTAATTTTAAATTTAAAGAGAATTCTTTGATAAGGTTATGTTTCTAGAAGCGTGGCATAAATGTTGTCCAAAGAGCAATGTTAGATTGGGTTTGACAGCTGTTTTAAAGTCAAGTGCTAGGCTTCTGACCATTGATGTGTTGTGACTGGGAGCATACTGGATTTAGTTAGATTATTTTGAAGCAAAGTAAAATGTGAATTGATTAAGATTAATTTATGTGTACAAATGGTTAACTGGACATGAAAAGTCTACCTAGAGACACCTAGGAAGAAAGACTTGAGGTTCTGCTTCTGAGAAATCAGCCTGTGGAGCTTATGTGGACATCATGAGTCAGAATTGATTTGATGGTGACATTTATTATTGTTTTTTAATTAAATTGAAACTTTTCATTCATTTTTAAATATTAAAGTAAACATACTAGAACTCATAACCCATTAAATTGCCATTCAACATTCTCAACCTGTGAGCAGGTTTATTGTTTAGAATATACTTAGGATTACTTCTAGAATTGTAAGAAATAATAAGGAAGCAATCTCATTCATTACTTGATAGACTAATTTTTAGATTAAGACAAATGGCATCACAAAGCAAATTCTGTCATCTTTTCAGCAGACTTAAATAGAAGTGGTTTTACTGTTTTCTAAAATTGATTGCTAGACGGTTTATCAAAACATCTACTGTACGGTCTCAGATAGATGGATCTCTACTGAGGATCTGTTATTAAAAGAATAAGCCTAAAAATATTTTAAGAGGTGCTGTTGTAGATAGTTAGCTTGTTAGCTTTTTAATGTAACTATTAAAAATAACACTGCACAATTGTAGCATGTTTATTGAAGAATCAGACCGATTGTTCTTTGTAGTAGTTTAATTTTTAAATTCAAGGAAATAGTGACAACCATAGTGATTTATTGCTTCACTGCAGTTTTTAATGAAGTGCTAGTAACTCTGTAGGATAAGCACTGGACTGTTAACCAGACGTTGGCAGTTCAAATCCACCAGGTGTTCCTTGGGAGAAAAATAATGTGGCTTTCTGCTCCCATAAAAATTTGCAACCTTGAAAATCCTGTGTAGGATTAATGTGAGTCTAATCCGACTCAACAGCACTTAGCAACAACAGCTTTTAAAGGTATTTTGTGATTTTTCTCATGATGTAGCACCTCTTCAATGATAGTAAAATTGTTATTTGATAGGCATTCACTGGCCAAAAGGAGACTTTGGTAAAAGCTGATAATTATCAGTAGAAAATAGTGTTTAATATGATTGAGGTTTAGCTTGGTCAGGCATCTTATATTTATATCAGTCTCCATTGACTTGCTCTGGTAAACATAGTCCTTCTGTAAAATCTCTTGATTTCTGTTTAGCCAAGGTGGACGAGCGCCTTCATATGACCAGTCAGACTATGGTCAGCAAGATTCGTATGACCAGCAGTCAGGCTATGATCAACATCAAGGCTCATATGATGAGCAGTCAAATTATGATCAACAGCATGATTCCTATAATCAAAACCAGCAGTCCTATCATTCACAAAGGGAAAATTACAGCCACCACACACAAGGTAAGATATACTGACTTCTATAATTTGTTTTGTTTTGTTTTTAGCTCGTAGAATAATATTTGTATCATGTTTTGGATTAAAAGATTAACAAAATTTGAAAAGAATTAAACTGAATTGACCTTGATGTTCTTTCATGACCATCAAACTAATTTATTAGATTTTCATTTCTGTATTTCATGAAAGCTCTCAAGTAGTCACATAACTTCTTGATAACTTGACTACATGAATTAACATTGTGTCAATTAGCTCTTTGTCAACCTGGCCGCTACTAGCTCCTTTTGATTAGTGGTGGTGTACTTGGTTTGGGGAGATTTTGTATTAGCCTTGGAGTCCTCCTGGTGTGGCACTGTGGGTTAATGTGTCAGACTGCAAAGCCATTTGAATTGCAAGGTCAGCAGTTCAAGCTCACCAGCTGCTCCTTAGAAACCCTCTACAGGGTCACTATGGGTTGGAACTGACTCTACAGCACTAAACAACAACAACCTTGTCTAAGAGGGGCAAGTCATCCTTGCTTATGTTTTCCCATTGACCTTATAAATAACCACTTAATTAATAATCTGTATACTTTAAGGATCAAGGATCTTATATTCATTTTTATACCTTCAATGCCTAGCATAAAGCTTGATTCATAGTAAGTGCCCAGTAAATATTTATTGAATCCTTGACTGGATAAATAAATGAGCAAAAGTAGAAGCTCATTCATTAAATATATCCCTTTACATTTTGAAAATCCAATTATTCCTTGTGCATGTTTGAACCGACTCTATGGCACTTAAGTACAACATGTTTGACTTACATTTAAATGTTTTGAGATGAAAAAAATAATGACTTTGAAGATTGTTATTATTAAGTGCTATTGACTCAATTCTGACTCATAGTGACCCGATATCAGGTTTCTAAGGCCGTAACCTTTGTGAGAGCAGAGAGCCTCATCTTTCTCCCTTGGAGCATTTGGTAGACTAAAAGCCTAGAACCACAGATCTTATAGTTTACTACAGAGCTACCACGCTCCCAACTTTGAAAATTAATGTACTTTTAATCCAATTTGCCAGAGTTCTTGTACCTAAGAGTATACTTTTATTTACACTGTTCAAAAGAATTATTTTGCTATCTGACTATCAAAATGTCATTTGACACAATTTGAATAGTTCTTAAAATATGTAAGTCCCAGTGGTTTTATAATAGCTTGCCTTTTATGATAGCTTGTGCACAGGTGGCATTTTCTGAAGATCATAATATGTGACTTAAAGAGCCATTTAAGCTTGTTAACATAAAATGACAATGGTTATTTACTTAGGTACACATTCGTTATTCTCCTTTTTGTAGATGACCGTCGTGATATGAGTAGGTATGGAGAAGATAATAGAGGATATGGCGGGTCACAGGGAGGAGGTAGAGGGCGTGGGGGATATGACAAGGATGGAAGAGGTCCTATGACAGGATCAAGGTAAGTATTTAGGTGTAAATGCCTACATTTTTTTCTTTTTTTCTTTGTTATTATTGTTGGTTAGATTTCAGCATCTAATTTAGTTAAGAGACTTAAAAGAGAGTATGTTGTGGAGAGAGAGGGAAGAGATTCAGAATTTATTTTCAGTTTTAAGTTGGCACATAAATTACCTTAGAATAGTCTGTGTAAGCAGTTAACTGGTATGGTGTGTCTTAAACACCAGTAGAAAAATGCCCCATACTGTGGTGTGGTTAAACCACTTGACTTAGTCTTTCCTGCCAGAGCTAGAACCTGAACTTTAAAAGATGGCTCTGGAAAATCCAAATGTTGTATATTAAAAGAACAACAGGTAAGTGACCTCTAGATTAGAAGGCAGAGAGGCTGTTCCTTAGACTTGAATTCCCTTGGGAAGGAGAGTGTGTAGGAGACAATAGCAGAATATAAAGGTGTGGGATTAGGAAATGGAGTAAGATTTAATATAAGTAGACTATTTTTTCTCCCTTCTTAAGTAAATAATGAAATAATTTAGTGTAGTGCCACTTACCATTGTGTATTTTGTCTAAACTAAGCTATTGGAGAAGAGTGACTTTTTTATTCTGTTTTTTATTTTGTTTTTCATTGCTAGTATTATCAGATTGTGGTATTTACTTATAGCCTGTTAATGAAAACTGGTTTAAAAGTTATTTTTAAGAATTCTGTCAAACAAAACTGAAAAAGTAATGGACATTTATTGTATTAAGATGATATTTGCAGACTGCAAATTTGTGTGTAAAATACATAGACATAAGATAATTTAGAGCCCTGATGTAATGTGTTAGGATAAGTATTGGACTGCTAACTGCAAGGTTGGCAGTTCAAATTCACCAGTTGCTCTCGGAAACCCTATACAGGGTGGCTGTGAGTTGGAACTGACTCGACAACACACAAGATAACTTATGTTCCTTGGGAACTGAAATTGCCATGACCCATTAACTGATAATTAATAATATATTCATACCATTTCACTCTTTCGCTTTTTAGTCACTGAGTGTCTGTCCCTTGTTGTGACCTGAGAAATAAAACCAGCTACATATAGCACTGTTGTTTTTTTTCAAGTGAACCAGGAATTTGATCTCACTAACTTGTGCTTCACTGTTTAGTATACAGTGCTTTGATATTGTGGAACAAAATCTAAACATTTAATATATTTTGTAATTTTGATAGTTCAAGTTAATTTACTAAGGTAAAACAAATATATACTTTCTGATTACCAAAGAGAGCATTTTACCATCATATGGATGTGAATGAAATAAGTAATATAAAGTTACATGGTGCTTACCTCCTTATAGCCTTCCTCCTACCTTACAGAGAAACCCAAACTAGTTAACCAATTTCTAAATTTCCCCGTCAGTGGGTTTTAGATAATTGGACAACCTAAAATGGTATATTTGTAGTACATTATAGGTTTAATTTTCTTTATAAGGTTGTTATAGCCTAATAGATTATCTGTTAAACTATGTGATTACCTTCTGAGAATGGTAGACTCCCACCTTTTATAGGCCAGGGATGAAAAAGGGTAAGGAAGTCTTTAAAAATACATTTTCTTCTTTGAGAGATGAGAGACGATGTTCCTTGAAGTCAGAGGGCTGAAAGGACCTTGAGTGATTTCTCCTGATAATGGAGGGAAAAAGGGTCTATACTACTACCAACCCAGAGGTCCAATTTTAATTACTTTCTATAACCTTCTTGACAATCTATTTGAATATAATCTGTGGTCCAGATACTGATTCGTGAACTACGTTTTTTCAAGCTTTATGCTTGTTGTTATGTGCTGTGTATGCGTAGAATTCCTTTAAATGAAGTCTTCTGCAGAAGTCCAATACATTAAATCAGAACTGCTTATTTGGTTGAATAGGGATATGGTGGAGGAGGGGAGATCTATAGCCAATGATTGAGGTGTTCATGCAGGGCCTATTTTAGGAGTCAGCAACATTTTAAAATAGTAAATATTGTAGGCTTTATGAGCCTTACAGTTTTTGTTGCCACTATTTAACTTTGTCCATAAAATGCCAAAGCAGACAGAAATTGTGACAATATGTAAATTGATAAATGTGGTTGTATTCAATAAAGCTTCATTTATTGACATTGAGGTTTGTAAAAGTTTTATGTGTCACACATCTTACTCAAGATGTGGTTTAATTAATAATTAGGGTTTTGAATTCTATTTTAGGTATTTAGTTTCTTACTTTTCCTTTTTTTGTGTTTTTTTTTACATTTGGTTTTACATTTTAGAACCACAGTATCTAAACTTTTTCATTAATCTTCATCAACACTCCCATTTGTGTTTCTAATCATCTTACTTAAAAATAACAAGGTTGAAGATACCTATTGGGGGATTGTTTCAAGTGTATCTGATTTGTTAGATTTATATTTAAAGAAGGGCATAGTTTATGGATGAGGGTGGAGTCTGGAAAGTATAGGACATTTTTAGACTCTTAGATTGCTTGATGACTAGAGGTCAAATTAAGATCAGAAGGAAATTGTCAGCTTTCCAAATAATGGAAGAAAAGTATGAAAATTATGGGACTACAGGAAATCTTATTCTTTGAAAACAGCAATTACAGCAAAAAAGATAAAATTTCTAGTGGTCACATAAAGTTGATCATTGACATTTTAGTGGATTAAAAGCTTAACTTCATAAATTCTCCCAGTGTTTTTTCAACATTGTAACTAATCAACTACAAAATGTCTGCTAGAACACAGAACATTATAGTGAGTGGTGGCACTGTATATTAGCCATTGGACTGCTGACTGTAAGGATGGTGGTTCAAACCCACAGCTACTCTGGGAGAAAGATGAAGGTGTCCACTCCTGCAAAGAATCACAATCTCAGAAACCCTGAAAGGGTTTTTATTAGTGGGAATCAACTCAATGGCTGTGGGTTATATGTCAAGCTAAGTAGTTGTGTAGTTTCAAGACTTCTGAATATTTTCACCCTTTGACAAGAATGATTGTTGTTAAGTGCTGATGAGTCGGTTCCAATTTACAGCAACTCTGTATAGGGTTTCTGAGGCTGTAAACCTTTATGGGAGAATCTTTTTTGGAGGAGTGACTGGTGGACTAGAACCACTGACCTTGAGATTGCAGTCCTACACAGCCACTGCACTTCATATTGAAAAATATGATTAACTTTAAAAAATGTACATATATGTTTGGGTGGTAGTCTAGAACAGTGCTATCCAATAGACATATGAGAGTAAGTAAAAAAAGTATTGCTATATAAACCTTAATTTTTAAAATGTCAAAATGTGAAACTGCTGTTTCTCGACACTCTCCATATAAGTCTATATTTTTTGAAGATGGTGTTTCCATATCTCTAACTCTAACTCGTCCTTGAAGAATTCTGTACTTCTCAATTTGCACCACATCAAAACGGCAGTTAGGGCATCCTGGAAGACTCAAATCATGTTCTTTGAGTTTGGTAACAAAAAGAAGTCTGAAGGGGCCAGATCAGGGCTGCAGGGTAGATGGAGTAAGATTTCCCATTGACATTCACTTAGGCTGGCCTTTGCTTTCCGAAAGAGCAGTTGTGTTGTCGTGATGGAAAAAAATTCATTGGGGCAACTTTTCTGACTTATTTTCCCTCACTAAGCCAGTATTTAAATTTTTTAAAACTTGCTAATAAGCCTCCAGGGTCGTCTGTCTCGACAAAAATCTATCAAGATTATTTCTTTTGAGTTCTAAAAAGCAGTCGCCATAACCATCTGAGCTGACCTCTCTGCCATGATATTGAACAGGCCCAGAAAATCACCTTGGAAGCCGCTGTTTTGATTGGACCTTGCTATCTGAATTGTATTGATAAATCCGAGGCCTGTTCCTGGTTATAATTTCATAATGGAAAGAAAGATTAACTCTTTGAGCTAGCTGATCTTCGTGTAGTGATTTTGGTATACATCGAGGTGAAAGCTTGCTGAGGCCAAGATGTTTGCATAAAATGGAAAATACTGAGCCATGTTAGATTTCAGTTTCATTATTGTATTGGAGTCCTGGTGTGGTGCTGTAGGATAAGCGCTAGACTGAAAGGTCTATTTGAACCTCAGGGTTGGTGGTTCAAACCCATCAGCTGTTCCTTGGAAACCCTATACAAGGTTGCTATGAGTCGGAACTGACTCAGCGGCACTTAACAAGTATTGCATCAGTGGTAATTTCGTGGTCTTCTTCCACCAGTTTCTGGACTTCAGAATAATGAGGCCCTCAGTATTCTTCAAGGTTGATGATCTTCTCTTGATTCCTCTTTGAGGTCTTCCAGGCCTTCCTTAAAATGTTTGATCCATCTAAAAACTTGTTTTATATTGCACAACATTCCTGCAAACTTGTAATTCTTCAATGATTTGGGAAGATGTCCACTTGAGTTTTGTTGAAAATTTACTATTAGCCCTAACTTCAAAATAGTTTTTTCAGGGCACAAAAAAGTATCCTTTTATTTTGAAGGAACCCTAAAAAGACTAAGACAAATGCATTACTAAGAGAATTTGTTTGCAGCCATCTACTGACCGCAGAGACATGCTTAATCATATTTTTTGTTAGGAATAAACCCATGCATGTATGAACTGGACCTAGTAGCAATACTTTTTGACTTACCCTCAGGTGATGTAAAATTTTCCTAGTAGCCACAATTTTATAAAAACTTGATACTAGGTGAAATTTATTTTAATAATATATTTCACTTACACACATATATATAGCATATATATGTGTGTGTGTATATATTCAAAGTACTATTTCAGTATAAAAACAATTAGATATATTCTTTTTGTATTTTTAATTAAGACATTGAAATCCATTTTGTGTTTTACATTTACAGCATATCTTGATTCAGACTAGCACATTTCAGATGCTCAGTAGGGACATAGGGCCATGTGGCTAGTGGATACTGTATTTGACAGTACAGTTCTAGAATATCAATTTTGGCTTCCCAAAATGTTGGTAAATGTGACTCCAGATGGTAAAGAAAATATACATACACCTATTGTTGGGAATGGTATTTAAATCCAGTGAGCCATTTGCCTTTAGAATTAATGTTCTTTTCCTTACACCCCAAAATTTGTAATCTGCATTTACTATTGTGAAAATGCAGCCATAGCAGATTTTAAAACTAGTATCTTGCAGTTTTTAGGTTGGACCTTTTTTCTCTAGATAATGAATTTTCCAGGAATAATAATTTTAGTATTGTCTTTTTATGTTTTGGGGGCAGCTTTAAGCCTTAAATAGATATTTAAATTTAGATGAAAAAAATTAAAATCGGAACTTCAGAGTTTATCAGAGAATCTTGTCTTCTCTAAATATGTTGTGCTGTAACAGAGAAAGAATTCTCAGGAGTCTGCCATAGGGTAGCTGATCTTTGAACTATCTTTATGATTGGGTCGGCTATATAGCTTGGTTGTTTTTTATTTCCCTTTTCTTTTATGCAGGGGAACATGTGGCCCTAAGGATGAATATGCTTCTATTTTTATCTCTGTTAAATACCTTTGCTGTTGTTTTAAGTGCTATGGTGTCAGTTCCAAATCATTACACTCCGTATAGGGTTTCCGAGAAGTGGTTGGTGGGTTTGAACCACTGACCTGGTGGTTTAAACCGATTTTGTGAGCCAGTGCTTATCCTACAGTGTCACACCTCTACTACTTCATCTTGAGATATCTTTACTTCAGTGCTTCCTCCTGTGTACATGCTTGCTTGTTTTTGGTAACATTTTTAGTCATAGGTGTTCACTAATCTTTTCTGTTTAAAATTGTTAATGAGACACTCAGTATTTGGAAAAGGGACTTGTAATTTGATTACAAGGTTTGAAAGGAAAATTTTTAACTAAAAGTCTTCCATTTAATCATGAGAACTACTTGTGCTTTTTCTATTAAGAAAAAACTGATTGAAACATTTGAACTTGAAAACTTCACATAGAATTAGAAATCATATAGACCACTGCTTCTTAAAGTTTAATGTGCATGTGAATTACTTGCAAATTATGTGAAAATACAGATTCTTACTCAGTAGGTGGGGTGAAGCCTGAGTTCCAATATTTCTGAGAAATTGCCAGGCTATGTCCATGCTGCTATTTCTTGGACTACCCTTTGAACATCCTACATGTATGTAGAATTTTATTTTATAAAGGAGGAAACTGAAGCCCATGGAATTACTGACTTGTCCAAATTTTTATGTGAGTCTCTTGGTTTGAAGGCCAGTACATTTTTCAGTGCACTATATTGTTTCCATGTTTATGGCCATTGTGTTGACATCTTCAGCTGCTTTGTTTTCTAAAGAAATGCTCAGTAAAGATGGGTTGAGTTTAAAATGTCATTATGTGGAGCAATAGGGAATTATAAACCTATTCAATTGTCAGTTCTTTAAATTTCCCTTTCTTCCTGAAGGCATGTGCCCTGTATTTTATTGTTCAAAGTTATATTCCTGGCCAAAATGAAAGTTTTAGGGACTAGTTGGTAATGAAATTGTACTTTTTACTTTATTGGTGTTCAATGGAGTATCAAGATGACAGCAGAGTCATAAAGAGATATCTTCTAGCACTTGTTTGTGAAAATAGTGACCTCAATTTCCTATTTAAAAAGTCATTCTGGATACTTCCTAACTAAAGAGCATGGACTTAATATTTTTACTAGTTCTTTTCTCTCAAATTTTGGAGTTATGTTTAAAGAAACCTGAGGTATCTTAGTTTCTTTTTTGTTGGCTTTTCTTAATGATAAAGCATATCATTTAGAAGTTTAAGGAGGACTTGGGTACTTTTAAAAAAGGGGTTTTAAAAACTTAATTAGGAAGCTGTATATATGTGAAGAATCCTGGTGTGACACTGTAAGATAAGCACTGGCCTGCTAACCACAAGGTTGGAGGTTCAAACCCACCAGCTGCCCCTTAGAAACTCTATACTGGGGCACTGAGTCATATCTGATTCCGTGACACTTAACCAACAATGCATGTGAAGCTGTCTTTGACTGTGTCTCACAGTGTCTAAGTAGCCTTGAAATAACCTTGCTCTCCGGTTTTCTAGAAATCAGAATAGCATGTTAGAATGCATGTGTCTATACCTAGCATTTGGCATTAAGGGTAGATTTCTTATACAGAGACTGCTTTCTCACTTAGAGTGAATTTTCTCTGAATGGCTCAGCAGAGGGTTTAGTTTCTTAGGTTATAGTAGATTAGTAGTAGTAGAAGATTAAATGTGAAAGCTTTTGGTGGGTTTTGTTCCCTTGTTAGCTCATGGTTTGAATCTTGGGTGATTACTTAATTCAGTCAGAAACAAGGGTATAATGGATGGCTACTGAAAGAGTTTATTGATAAGAGGAACCATCTGAGATTTTTCATAAAGCTATGTATATGAGTGCCATTGACTATCTGCCAGTGGAAATTTTCCAGATTAAGTCATTGTCATGTGGGCAGTGGTGCTGAGCATGTAGCATGTTGCGTTCTGTAGTGTGATCAATGCACAGAACATTTATTTGGCAGCATGAACTTTAGTAACTGATGTGAAGAGATGTAATATATTATAATGGTTGTGGAGTAGGACAGTGAGTAAAGAAGGCCAAAGAATAATTGATGAATTGTGATGTTGGCAAAGAATATTGAATATGCTATGGACTGGCAAAAGAATAAACAACTGTCTTTGAAGAAATCTAGCTCTAGAATTCTCCTTAGAAGTGATGATAGAGAGACTTTGGACATGTTAGCAGAAGGGACCAGTTCCTGGTGATCATCATGCTTGGTAAAGTTAGAGAGTCAGCAAAACAGAGGAGACCCTCAATGAGATGGATTGACAAAATTAGTGGCTGCAACAATGCTTCAAACATAGCAACAATTGCAAGGATGGTGTAGGACCTAGTAATGTTTTGTTCTGTTGTGCATAGGGTCACTATGAGGTACAAGTAACTTGACAACACCTAACAGACACAGCAACATGAAGTAGGAGGACACTTTAAAGTTGTGCTTTCTTTTAGTCATCCTCATTTTATCAGATTTCTGGATGATTTGAAATTTTAGGAGTACTTTCATTCAGGTTTACTTTTGTGTTTATTTTTACCTCATTTTTTTCCTTCATCTCATAAAACCCACTATTTGATATCAAAATAAAGCATAATATTCAAATTTTTACCACTCCCATTCTGCCATCAAAATCTTAATATTATTCTAGTCTTTTTCCTTTTTCTCATTGTATCCCCTTGGAATGAATATTTGCTATGGTTTTAGTATTCTTCATTCAGTTGTAAGTTACGGTTTGAATAGTATCCCTTTTGCTTGGGGTTGGGAAGATTTTAAAATAAGAGTGTATTAGATGTGGTAAGCTTGAAAAGGTACCTTTATGGAAATACGCATAGATGGAAACCACATTTTGAAGTCTATGAAATGGAACTTACTGCAAAGTTAGAGGTGCTACTGTTTCCCTAGGCTCTCTACTTGTGACAGTTAAGTGTAGATTGAGCCCAGGGCTCAGCACATTAGAGACTTAAGGAAGAAATCATTTCTTCAATTTTTCCTCTGCAGTGGTGGTGACCGCGGTGGCTTCAAAAATTTTGGTGGTAAGTGCTGAGTATCCCAAAATGTTTCAGTGGAAATGCTATATAAATCTAAGAGCCACCAATATCCCGCAGACGCAGTCTAAAGCCCTTTCTTACTCTGTTGAGGCTGGTGTGTGTTGTGTGCACAAAAAAAAATTATACATATATATATATATATACGTATATATATATCAACGTAAACATTAAAAAGGCAAAGTTAATCTCAAACAGTCCAATGGGTTTCTGCACTGTGAATTTGCATGAAAAGAGTCTGTGGTGACCAATGAGATCTTCACTGGATATTGACGAAATGTTTTTGTATAAAGGTAGCTGACATGGTGTTCATAAATTAGTAAGGTTTTCCAATCAGCCATCACAGCCAGAACTTAACCAAAGTGATACTAGCATAATGCCAAAATGGCGGGTGCTGTCTGGGACAAGTTTAAAGATATGTTGACATTCATCTTATTTCTTAAAACTTTCAATAAAAAATAATTTATATATTTATTTCATAAATATGTGATGATTGACCTTCCAGGATTTTGGAAGTTTTGACTTTTAATGCCTTGGTTACTATTAAAATTATTAAAAATGTTTTCAGATGAGCTCCCTTAAATAGCTTTTTTTCCCCCCTTTTCCCTTAGGTCACAGGGATTATGGACCCAGGCCAGATGCTGGTAAGGCTTTTGGTAGTTTGTGACTTTGCAGTTAAGAGAATGTTAGTTTCGGTTGCAGTATTTGAAGGGAAGAGTGTGTATTTGGAAAAGTTAGTTCAGGAGGAAGAATGAACTTCACAGTGCTGCCAGAAGTTGGGAGCAATAAAGACCCAGGGGGATTGAGTGGACAGTTTGCTGGGGAAAATTGCTGTTTGTGCTTTCCCATGTTCTTCCTTTTCTTTTTTTTGAAGAATACTTGAATTTTTGCTGCTAATAAGCATTAATCATTTAATTACTACAAATCAGATTTAATAAGAGAATTGTTAATGATGGGGAATTAGCATTAGAAAAGCTCTGTCTAGAAAGTGATACATTGGATTGTTAGTCTCCTTAGCTTGCCTAAGAATCCTGAGTTCATACATGAGAGAATTGTCTTACTCTGAGCAGAAGTCACTGATTTCATGTGGCTTTTTATTTTTAAATGACACTGAAGGCTCCAAATTTACTCATGGAGCCTTTTGAAAGGTATTATGATGTAGAGGTTAAAATTTTTTTCTATTTGAGCCAAAAAATTTTAATATATATTGAAATCAGAACTTTTGTTTTTATTAAGATGCCAAAGTATTCTATATGGATGGCAATTTCTGAATTATCCCTTGAAGGACTGAATTTTTATACATCTTTCTTACTTTGTTGTACTAATCCAAAAGTGTGCGTGTAAGGTAAGGTGTGTGTACAAGGTGCTCCTACCCTCTGGTATATACAAAGCTTATTTCAATGAATGAGAAACCAGCAATTTTGCTTGGCTTGCTTGAAAGTCACAAGTATTGGATTTGGGGAATTTTTTACTTGAGAGCCTTAAAAGTACTGATTAGCCATAAAGTGTTAAAGCTCTCCAGAGAAAGGAATGCTCATTTATGCTAACTTTCTTCATCTCTTCATAAGCCTTAGTCATCCTATAGCAGCATCTGAAGAGTGAGATTTGTAAGATATCCGTTAATTGGTCTGTGTGTTTTACATAGTGGTAGACTTGATCCACTTTACCTAAAGTGTAGCTATAAGAATTGATCTACTACTAAATAAGTATTTTGACCACTTTGCATGTCTTTATAAGGTTCTTATATTGCTATTTCTATTCCTTTTGGTTATAGAAAAGTTGACTATTATACTATAAATCATTGTTCTTGATTACTAAACAGGATCTAGTGAAACCAAAGAATGTGTAAAATTAACCATAAATTTTTTTCCCCTTTAGATTCAGAATCTGATAATTCAGATAACAACACAATCTTTGTGCAAGGACTTGGGGAGGGTGTGTCTACTGATCAAGTGGGGGAGTTCTTTAAGCAAATAGGAATTATCAAGGTGAGTAAGAATTATAACTTACATTGAAAAGCTCATAATTGTTGCCATATTCTAGTTAAGATATGCAGATTATGTACATAAGCCTGCACTCTAATGAGACTTGTCTCATAAAACTGCTTAATGTGCATGCTTAAACTTTATGTTATTGTTGTTAATTGCTGTCAAATCGAGTCTGTTCTGAGCCACAGTGACCCTGAATAGGGTTTCCAAGGAACGACTGGTAAGCCTGAACGCTCGACCTTGTAGTTCAAACCAACTTTGCAATCCAACGCATTAACCCACAGCACCACACCAGGACTCCAAAGTCTACATAGGGTCCTTAACAACAACAATAAACCATGTCTGTAGAACTTTGTTAGCACATTTCTTCCTTGTATTTGTTCACCTTTCTATAACTTAAGCTTTAGCTTTCAATCCTAGATTATAAATACAGTCTCTGCCTGTCGTCTAAAGTTTTGAGAACCAAATGAGGTGGTGAGAGCATTTTGTAGAGTCTGAATTGCCAATCAGTATATGTAAACTCAAGTTATTAAGAACTTGTTTTGGTATTTAAATGTCTATGCTACATGTTAGCTAATGCATTATTTCATATTTGTGTTTTGTTTACTAAAGTGTCTTGTGCAAAAAATGTTTCATGCATCTATTTCTTAGTTCTTCAATAGAAAGCATCATTTAGAGCAGTGTTAGTAGATTGTAGCACTTGTCAAAATCAGATTGCAATTGTCCTTGTTTTGGTGTCTGTGGTATTACTAATTTTTTTATTTTTCTTGGGAAATTACAATGAATAATAAAATAGAACAAAACAGAAATATGTGAGAACTTTACACACTTCTATAAACTTAAAATTCTCCCTTGTCTTCCTTCCATCCCAACCGAATTCCAATCTACTTCTTAGTGGTAACTTGTGATAACCTATAAAACATCCTTCTTGACCTTTTCCTATGTTTTACAAGTTACATATTTGCATGAAACGTTATCTATATTATTTTGTGGATTTACAGAAATTATACATAGATAAAACAGTTTACTTTGTATCACTTTTATACCATGGTTTTTTTCTACTTAATGTGATGTAGCTTAGAGAGTTTTCATTATTACTGCCTGTAAATGACTCATTTTTATAGGTGAAATGTATTTCCTAATGTGAATAGCCTAAATGGTACATGATCATTTATTCTTAAAATGTTGTCTGACCCCAACTTGTTTTTTTCCTCAGACAAACAAGAAGACTGGAAAACCAATGATAAATCTTTACACAGACAAGGACACAGGGAAGCCAAAGGGGGAAGCAACAGTATCATTTGATGACCCCCCTTCAGCTAAGGCCGCCATTGACTGGTTTGATGGTATGCCACATCAGATAGTTTTAAACATGCAATTTAAATCAAGCTTTCTAGTGTTGAAGTCAGAGTATGTTCTAGAATGTATTTTTTAAAAGTTTATACTCCAAACATGCTTTTTTCACTTACCATTTTAATGTAGGCATTTCCCCATGCTATTACATGTCATTTTTATTGTACCCTAATTTAATAATGGAGTCCTGGTGTGGTGCTGTGGGCTAATGCGTCAGACTGCAGAGTCGTTTGAACTGCAAGATCAGTGATTCAAGCTTACCAGCTGCTCCTTTGAAAAGCCTCTACAGGGTCGCTATGGGTTGGAGTCGACTTGACGGCACTTAACAATTTGAGAATAAATACTTAATGCATATTTATTGTGGTTTGTGGGCTAGGCATGGTTCTAAGAGTGTTCCATGCGTTAACTCAATCTTTATAGTAACCCTATAAGATATATGTTGTTGTTGTTAAGTGCCGTCGAGTTGGTTCCGACCCATAATGACCCTGTATAGGGTTTCCAAGGAGCAGTAGGTGGGCTTGAACCACCGACCTTGCAGTTCAAACTGACTTTGCAGTCCATCATATTAACCCACAGCACCACACCAGGACTTCCCTATTATGACAGATGAAACTAAAGTGTACAGAAACTAGTTTGCAAGATCATAGGGTAAGTGGCAGAGTCAGGATTCAAACTTAGGCTGTTTAGCTTCACTGTCTATATAACTGCTGGCTTGACAGACTTGCGGTCCCTTTCATTTAGAATATTATTGCACACATGTCCCACAGAACATAATTGCAGTCCTTTACTTTTGTGCACAAGATTAAACTATTGCCATCGAGTCTGTTCCAACTCATAGCAACCCTGTACAGCGTTTCTGAGGAGCGACTGGTGAGTTTTTAATCACCAGCCTTGTGGTTTACATCGACTGCAATCTAGTGCATTATCCTGCAGCACCACACCATGACTCCACACTAAGACTAGAGCTCATCAATTTGCCTTTGAAGACTAAGTCCATTCTTCCTCACTTTTCTGTTTTGTTTATAGTTTCTGTGAATCATAAAACTCCCTTTTGCTCCATGGAATGTTAAATAATTTTGTGACCATAATCCCCTCCCCCAGAATGTGACTCTTAGGCACCTATCACATCTGGAACTGAACTGATTTTTGGGGATCAACTTTTAATCAAACAGTAGGATTATAAAGTGAACAATAACACCAGGGAGGTACCCACTCCTTAGAATAATAAACCATATGAGACCAAAAAAGCAGCATTTGCCCAGTGACAAAGCTCAGAAGGCAGGAAGTGGCAGGAAAGAAGGTTGAAGGGAAATGAGGGAACATAGGGGATAAGAAGAGCGCTGTTATATATTATGGGGATTGTAACCAATGTCCTGAAACAAAACGTATATAAATTGTTGAATGGAAAACTAATTTCCTCTGTAAACTTTCACACCCAAATCACAATAAAAAGTAAAAAAAAAAAAATCATGATTTGTACATAGGACAGGTAAGCCTCTTAAGCCTAACTTCATAGTTCAAATAGTACCGGGTCTTAATACAGTTTCAGAATGCTTATAATACCATTTGCATCATGGGAAGTCACCAGCCAATCATTAGGGCTTTGTTCATCTAAGGCTAATAGATACAAGTACAACCATTCTCTTTTTTTAATATAAAGTGACAGCAATAAATTCCTTTTCTTATAACCAGAATATATGTGTGTGTATGTGTGTGCACACACGTGTATTTACGTTTGCTTAATATTTTAATATAACTACATGGTAATACAAAATAGTACTAAGGGTATTAGAAGCGCTTGTGGCACTGGACTGCTAACCACATAAGGTTGTCAGTTTAAACCCATCAGTCACTCTAGAGGAGAAAGATGAGACTTTCTGCTCCCATTATCATTTACAGCCTCAGAAAACCTTAGGATTATTATGATTAGGAACCAACTCACTAGCATCTAACAGCAGCCAAGAGTGCATAATAAAAAATGAGTTTGTTTCACATTTTTTTTTAATGTTGTTGAGGTCAAAGTTTACAGAAGTTGGTTTCCTTTTCAGTCATTTGTATGCAGATTCTTCTGTGACACTGGTTGCAATCCCCACCTTGGCAGCACTCAGCCCATTTCTACTATGGTGTCCCTGTTTCCAGTCACTTTGTCCTGCCCTTCCATGCCTTCTTAACTTTGCTTTTGGGCCCTTTCCACCTTTGATCCCCCCAATAATCTCATTTCCCTTCAGAGGTAAGTACAGTGGGTATGGCATATAAAAACATGAATATACAAAAGGGCTTCAAAAAGTTTGGAAACATGTAGTTAAAAGACACTGGAAGTGTTCCACAAACTTTTTCAGGACTCCTTATATAGGTTTATGCAGGTGCAGGACTCCATTAAAAAACAAATGGTAGCATAGTATGTACACATTGTCCTACTCTTGTTTTTTATGTTTTGTAAGTCTAGTAGGAAGTGACTGACGGGGATTCTTGTTGTGGCACTGTAGGAGAAGCACTGGACCATAAGGTCATTTGAATTGCAAGGTTGGCAGTACAGACTCACCAGTCGCTCCTCAAACCCTATACAGGGTTACAATGAGTAAGAACCGACTTAACAGCACTTAACAATAAGAAGTGACTGTTCCCCAGTGATTGCTCTGCCTTATTTCAATTTTGTCATGCTTTTGTATTGTTGGCTCAATTCCTTGAAACACTGTAGTGTATTTGCATTTCTGCGAAGTTATGTCAGTATGCCTTATTTTTCTGAAACTAACAATTTCCAAGACAGTTATATTTTTGTTGGGAGGTAGAGCTGTAGAACAGGAACTTCAGCTGACATTTCTTTGAAGGCTTTTTTTTCCTCTCTTAGGAAAAGAATTTCATGGCAACATCATTAAAGTGTCCTTTGCTACTAGAAGACCTGAATTTATGAGAGGAGGTGGAAGTGGAGGTGGTCGGCGAGGTAAGATATTAGTTGTTCACAGACCTGGATACAAAGGGTTTGAATTGGAGTTCATGTTCTGTCTTTGTGTGAAATTTCTAGCCCTTTTTTCTCCCTAGATCTTTTTTCTTTTATCTTATAATGAGGCTAGGTAATGAATATATTAGGTATGTAAGAAAGTAGTAGAAGGTTCTAGAAATCTCTTTGGAAAGCTACATACAAGCAGTTTGTTGTTCACTTGGAAACCAGGAGGTAGTCATTTAAGTAATACCCACTTATGCACTTAACCTGACCAGCTAGCAAATTGTAAACTCCCTAATGTAGTTACTGCTTTCTTGTTTATTTCTCTTGATTCTAATTCCTCAAATTTAGGATGTATTGTCTCATATCATGTTTGTCACTTATTCTCAAACAAAGTAGTTAGTCTAGAGGGTGAATTTTGATGTTTTTAGTACATTATTTGTACTGTAACGTGGGCCTCAGGTCTGTTCCCACATTTTTACATTTACTTAGTAAAACCTCAAATCGAAGAGTCACAGAGTTCTACCATAAAGGAATATTTTGCAGTTGGGTACTTGGTCTTCTTCCAAGTTTAATATCTCTTGCTGATTTTTCTCCCCTGTTCCATTCCCCTCTCCCTTCCCCCAGGCCGTGGAGGATATAGAGGTCGTGGAGGCTTTCAGGGAAGAGGAGGAGACCCCAAAAGTGGGGACTGGGTTTGCCCTAATCCGTAAGTATCCATTTACTTTGGTGGGAGTAGGGTTGGAGGTGTGAAATATGAGGTCTTTTTTGTTTTGCTTTTAAATTTTTATTGTGAATTGAGTGATAGTTTACATGGGAGAACATCGGTTTTACACTCATCCTATTGGATTTTGTTTCATGCCAATGATTACAATCCCTTCCATGCATCGTTGTTCAACAGAAGTATTTGCTTCTATTCCCTCTCTTGGTTTTTAATGCATACAAAAACACTCATAAGTGAATATATAATCATTTAAACAACCAAAGGGTTGTTTCCATGAGTCTAGAGTCCTCAGCTGCTCTATATCTTCATGTCCTCATCTCTGTCTCCATCTCTAGTGTCACTGCTTCTCTGGATAGGGTCCCACATTCCACTCGTGCTTGTCTCCCTTGATAGTCCTAGGGTTCTCTGTGCCTGGACTGTAAGATTAACTACTCCCCCAAGATCAGGTTTTGAATCTGGTGAAATCTCTCTAGGAACACTTTTTTCTTCTTCCTTTCCCAGGTCATGTGGAAATATGAACTTTGCTCGAAGGAATTCCTGCAATCAGTGCAATGAACCCAGACCAGAAGACTCTCGTCCCTCAGGAGGAGGTGAGTCAGCCCTGTAGTAGTATCTGTATGGTACAAATCTTCTGACTGCATTAAGATGGTTTTGCATTATTTTAATGGTTTGTATTTCTACCTTGCAGATTTCCGGGGGCGAGGCTATGGTGGAGAGAGGGGCTACAGAGGTCGCGGGGGCAGAGGTGGAGACCGAGGTGGCTATGGGGGAGACAGAAGTGGGGCCGGATATGGTGGAGACAGAAGTGGTGGCGGTGGCTACGGAGGAGATAGAAGTGGAGGTGGTTATGGTGGAGACCGAAGTGGAGGTGGCTATGGTGGGGACAGAGGAGGTGGTTATGGTGGGGACAGAGGTGGTTATGGTGGAGACCGAGGAGGCGGTTATGGAGGAGACCGAGGAGGCGGCTATGGTGGAGACCGAGGTGGCTATGGTGGAGACCGAGGTGGCTATGGTGGAGACCGAGGAGGTGGCTATGGCGGAGACCGAGGAGGCTATGGTGGAGACCGAGGTGGCTATGGCGGAGACCGAAGTGGGGGAGGCTATGGAGGAGACCGTGGGGGGGGCTATGGAGGAGACCGCAGTGGAGGTTACGGAGGAGACCGAAGTGGTAGCAGCTACGGAGACCGAGGTGGCTACGGAGGCAAAATGGGAGGAAGGTGAGTATTACTGGTAACCTTTCATCTCACTGCTCTTAAGTTTCAGTGTCTGAATCTTCTTTGTCACTTTGGGACCTGAATGTGGCAACTCTTTTAGTTAGGATGAAGAAAACCCATTTCGTTTCCTGCTTATCAATTTCTAAAATTTGTTTTATAAATTCCTGTTTTTTATACATATTTATATTGAGTTGTATGTTTATGTATATATGTGTATTACTCTTTCTCAAGTTAAATGGATGGAATGATAGTAACTTTAAACTGTTTTAAAATATGGATTCTTAATCAAAATGAGGGGAGAACACACATTTCATAGGGGTTCTTTACCATATCACACCGGCTACCGTACAGGTGTCTCTGGAGATTTTGGTAATAATACCATTTCCAAGTAAAATCACTGATGGTACTGATAGAATATGTTGTGCCCACAAGTGGTATGTTAAATGTAGTCAAGTTAGTTTTGACCCATCACAACCCTGTGTATAGAATTTCTGAGGAGCAGCTGCTGAGCTTGAACCACCAACCTTGCAGTTCAAACTGATCTTGAAGTCCAGCACATTGACCCATAGCACCACACCAGGACTTCCACAAATGGTATAAAGGCAGAAAAAATTGAAGAAGCGATAATGTAAGATAGTTTTAGTTATAAAACTAAACATCTGTATGACAGGCAGTATGTTGTTATTGTTAAGTGCTGTCAAGTCTATTCTGACCCATAGTGACCTTGTATAGGGTTTCCAAGGAGCAGCTGGTGAGCTTGAACCGCCGACCTTGCAGTTCAAACGGCTTTGCAGTCTGGTGCATTGACCCACAGCGCCACACCAGGACTTCAGGATAGTGAAAATTGGTATAGGACTCCTGGTGTGGCACTGCAGTTTCAGCACTAGATTCCAAACCACAAGGTAAGCAGTTCTAACTCAACAGCTGTTCCTTGGAAACACTATACAGGGCTGCTATGAGTCAGAACAGACTCAATGGCACTTAACAACAACAATATGGCTAAAAGCATGGTGTCAAGATATTCATTCTTGGCTCCATAACTTATTAGCTCTGTGACCTTAGGCAAGTTACTTAACCTTTCAGAGCATCAGTATTTTCATCTGTAAAATGAGGCCAGTAATAGCTCCTTTGTAACCTTTTTTTAGATAGCAGTAAAACAGTTGTTGGTCCGTAGTTAAATACTGTATCATTGTTAGCTACTATTAATTATTAATAGGCCCTGGTAACATAGTGGACTGCAAGCTAGGCTGCTAACCACAAGGTCAGTAGTTCGAATATACTAGTCACTCCACAGGAGAAAATGGCTTTCTGCTTCCGTAAAGATATTACAGCCTCAGAAACCCTATACAGGGTTGCTGTGAGTTGGAACCGACTCTACAGCACACCACCACCACCACCACCACCATCCATTGAGGAGTCCTGGTGTGACACTGTTGGATAAGCTGTGGACTGCAAATCACAAGGTTGGAGGTTCAAACCCACTTGTCGCTCCTTGGAAACTCTGTTAAAAGTGTTTTTATATGCTTTTGTTCTATTGCTTCTGTTAAATTTCCCACTTCATAGTCTCAGAGATGTTCAATAACTTTTCCCATGTTGCATAGTCAGTAAGTGGCAGATCATTTATACATAGTGTTTGCTCGTTTTACTACTCATTCTGCTAGAATTGGCAGTCTCTGACCTTGAAAGAGCTTAGTGTTTTGGAGTCCAACTCTAGGTGGGAAAATGTTGAGAGTTAATGATAACAGCTTCTTCTGGACACTTTGTGGATCATAAAACTGATAAATTAGCAAGGCATTTTTTTAAGCACCTTCTAGGAATACTGGTGTGGTGCTTCAGGATAATGTGCTCAGCCACAAGATCAGTTATACAGGGTCACTATGGGTCAGAACCGACTCTTTGGCACTTAAAATACAAAAAAAAGGAGTATATGGGAGTCCTGCTGTAGCACTGTGAGTAAATGCGCAGGACTGCAAGGTCAGTTTGCACTGCAAGGTGGATGCTTCAAGCTCATCAGCTACTCCTTGGAAACTCTATACAGGGGTCTTTATGAGTTGGAATTGACTCAACGGCATTTAGTAACAACAACAAGGAGTATATGGCTGTGTGGGATAAAGCACTGGACTGCAAGGTCAGTTTGAACCATAAGATGGTGGTTCAAACTCAGTAGCCACTCCTTGAAAACTTTACACAGGGTCGCTATGAGTTGGAACCCACTTGATGGTACTTAATAATAGTAGCAGCAGGAATGTAGAAATAATTTAGGCATGGTCTTATCCTTATAGAAATTTATTGTTTAGTGAATGCCAATCAGTCAGCATCCTAAAGAAGTGTCTAATGCTTCCTTGGTAGAAAATTAGAATTGAGCTTGGCTCTCTTATTTTTCATTCCTAGAAACGACTACAGAAATGATCAGCGCAACCGACCGTACTGATGACTGTTTTGAATGTTCCTTTGTCTCTGACATGATCCCTAGTGAAATTGCCAGAGTTCTGCCTGCTGCTTTCCTCGTGGCCTCTTCTTGGGTAGTAAAATTAAGTGACTTTTGGATTTTTATTTGGGTGGGAGGGTTTTCCTTTTAGAAATGTCCATTGATATTTCCCCTTCTAGTTTTTAAACCTTCTCCTTTCCAACCCTTGAAGCTGAGTGCATTGTAAAATACTGCCAAAATGGAAAGTGTTTTGTAATACTGCAATAAAGACTGCTTGTTTTTGTGGACCTTCGTACATTGGTGTATTATTCTGTCTCTTTCAGGACGCTTAGTAAACTGTAGCCCTAAAGAACTTAGAAATCAGCTCAGGAGCATGCTGATCTATTAAATTTTCAGTATTTATTGAGCACTCCTCTATGTTTAGAGTAATTTTCAAGAATGGCTGCAGGCCAGAATCACTTGAGGAGTTTGTTAAAATGACAGATTCCTGGTCATTGCCTCAGATCTACAGAATCAGAATTGAGGTGGGGAGGTAGGGCTGGGAGTCTGTGTGGCAAGCTTGCCAGGTGATCACTACACAGTTTAGTACCAGTTTACATTGAGAACTGTTTATTTAGGGCAATGTCCTAGATGCTGAGAGTATGGAGGTTTAAGAATACATATAGGTAAGCATTCCACAAACCAGGGTTAAAATACTAGTGTATGTGGTTTGCTATTTGGTTTCATTAAAAATATCCAACCTTTTGGAACTCTGGTGGTGCTGTAGGAAAAGCACAGACCTGCTAACCATGAAGTTGATGGTTTGAGCCCACCAGCTGCTCTGCAGGAAAAAGATGAGGCCTTTTGCTTCTGTGAAGATTTTCAGCCTTGGGAACCCTATACAGGGTCGCTATATGAGTTGGAACTGATTCAACGACACCTAACAGCACAAGAACAACCCTTACTATGGGTAAGGTGCTGGCCCGGATGGATTGTTGTTGTTCAAGTAAATAGACAGTATATATAGTTTGATAAATGGAGCTCTGGTAGCGTAGTGGTTACAAATCGGGCTACGAACCACAAGGTCAGAAGTTCGAAACTACCAGCTGTTCCACGGGAGAAAGATGAGGCGTTCTGCTCCTGTAAAGTTAAAGCCTCAGAACCCCTGTTCCGCTGTGGGTCAGAACCAACAACATAAGTGTGACAGCTTGGATAAATACAAGGTACTTTGAGGGTTTATTGGAATGACACTTAATATAGTCTTAGGGGATCAGTGAGTTGAGGGAAGAGTAGGAATTGGCCAAAGAAAGGGGTTGTGTTGAGGAAATGGAATAACTGAACAAATAAGGAGCTAGAAACAGGAGGCCCAACACTTTAGGAAGACTGCAATGAACTTCAGTTACTGAAGGGAATAGTTTAAGGGTTAGCATAAAAAAATAGACTGGAAAAGTAGACAAGTTTAGATGACTGCATTTTATTTTTCCTTACCTATAAATTTGGTAGTGGTAGACCAATTGCTGTTAAGACAATTTGACTCCTGGCAACCCCATGTGTTTGAGAATAGTACTGTTTTTGTTCCACAGGGTTATTAATGACTGATCTTTCAGAGTAGATTGTTGTTATGTGTCGTTGAGTCGGCTCCAGCCCGTAGCAAGCCTGTACAGTTTCCTAGGCTGTAAATCTTTACGGGAGCAGAAAGCCTCATCTTTCTCCCATGGAACAGTTGGTAGTTTCGAACTGCCGACCTTGAGGTTAGCAGCCCAATTTGTAACCACTACGCTACCAGAGCTCCTTATTAGAGGCACCTTTGTGAATTGGAAACACTCTAAAAGGGAGTCATTAAAAGATTTTCAACAGGATGGTAGTATGGTCTGATTTGAGTGGCATAGCTGAAGTACATTGGAGGGGCCAGAGTGGAGAGGAATAAAAAGCCTAGTGAGAGTGACATTGTCCTGGGCTCTGTACTGTGAAGAAGGATTACATGCCTAGGGTGTTCTTGGAGAAGACAGAGTTGGGTGGCCTGGATAATTGGGTGGATGCATTGTTCTGTGGTTCAAGCTGTTCCTCGGAAACCCTATACAGGGTCGCTATGGGTTGGAAGTGACTTGGTGGCACATAACAACAACTGTTCATTAAACTAGGATACACTGGAAGAGGAACATGTTTAGGGGTGAATTGACAGAATGAATGCCGTTTAGGGAATGTTGAGTTTGGATGCTTATGAAACTTTAAAGTAGAGACACCCCAGTAGGCAGATGTACAGATCTGCAAGCTCAGAAAATGTTGCATTCAGTAAATGCATTTATGGTTTTCTACCTTAGTGACCCATCTTTGCTAGCTTCTCCTCTACTTGACCTTTAAAGGTTTGGACATTCCCTAGGGCTCATTCTAAGCCCCTTTTTCTTTTCTGTTTATGTTCATTATTTCACCCCTGAGCAAACTCATTCAGATTATGACTAAATATCGTTGGATACATTGATGACTACCAAATTTATATCTTCAGTCCTGACTTGGCCCCTTAATTTTTAATTATATCTAGCTGCCTACTTGATCGTTGGAGTCCTGTTATGGCACTCTGGGTTAATGCACTGGACTGCAAAGTCAGTTTGAACCACAAGGTCGGCAGTTGAAGCTTACCAAGCCACTCCTCTGGAACTCCTATACAGGGTTGTTATGGGTCTGAACTTACTTGACGGCACTTAACAACAACAACTTGATCTTGGACTTGGATGTAAAATGGGTGCTTAGAATTTATCATGTACTTACGGTGGCTCAGTGGGTTAAACTGTAGGCTGCTAACTGGAAAACGGTAGTTCAAACTCATCTTTGCTTCTCAGGAGAAAGATAAAGCTGATTGCTTATACAAAGATTTAGTCTCGGAAACCCTGTGGAGCAGTTCTAGTCTGTCCTACGGGGCACAGTGGAATTGTTGGGGATGAATCGGACTTTTAATCTCCTTTCAAATAACTTTCTTCCTAACCTTAGTGTCTCTGTCATCTACCCAGATCAGATAAAACACCTAGAACTTAACCTGAATTTTTCTCTCATTCATTGTGTAATAGGTCCTTTTAATTCTACCTCCAAAATATATGTGGAAACCATGTTTATAGTGTTGGCTACAGTACTATAAGACCCCCAGCGAGATGGGTTGGCCAAGTGCCAGCATCAGTGGGCTCAAGTGTGGCAACAATAGTGAGGTTGGCCCAGGATTGGGCACTGTTTCGTTCTGCTGTGCATAAGGTCGCTATGAGTCAGTACTGACTCGATGGTACCTAACAACAACAACCTTTCCTCAAATACATTGGTCAAGGTTCTTGACAATATTAATTCTGTTCAAAATATGCTTCTGTTACAGTATCTTTGCATGTGCTCTTTGCTATCTCTAGAATTCTCTTCCCTCAGGTATTCATGTGGCTCACTTATTACAGTGTTAGAACAGATATGGCCCTCCTTCCCTCCTAGGACCTTTCTGACCATTGTGTATAAATTATTCCCCCTTTTCTCCAGTCAGCTTAACCTTGTTATGTTACAGTACTGATAACTTTGAAATGATCTCTCTGTGGTTGTTTATTTACTTTATTCCCATTAGAATATAGGGTTGCTATGAGTCAGTATCAGTTTTTTGTTTTTGTTTTTTTTTATCTATTAGAATATAGACTCCAGGAAGATAGGGAACTGTGTCAAATGTTCTTTTCTAGTGCCTAGAACAGTGCCAGGTACAGATTTGGCACTTAATGAATTAACTAATTGTATTGGAAGTACAGACAGATCATCATTACCACTTTTGTCATGGTAATGGAAGTTATGAGTGTGGACATGACTGAGGTTCTAGAGCAGTGCTCTCCATCTTAGCTCTACACTAGAATCCGGTATTACAGTTTTGAAGTCTTGATTATGAAGGGTGGTTGGAGGTGGGATGAGATGAGAAGAGAACATACTGAGACATAGGGATTTGGGCTTTGGGAGATTATTATTAAGATAAGTGGGAATTGGATATGTTTATATGCTATTTGGGAGGAAATGGAGGTAATTGATGTCAGACCCCTTGAAGGGATCACATTCAGAACACTGGCTGAGGATTTGCCTTACAAGAGAATGCCTCTTGAATTGAAATTGGAAGAGTATAGTATAGTATAGTATAGTATAGTACAGTACAGTATAGTATAGTATAGTATAGTATAAACTGCCATTGAGTCAGTTCCGACTCATAGCGACTCTATATATAGTGTTTCCGAGGAGCGGCTGGTGAGTTTGAACTGCTGAACTTGTAGTTATATGGTTGAGTGCTTATCCTAAAGTGCCACACCAGGAAAGAAGGATAGGTGTTACTACCCCTAGTAACAAGTGACCAGCATTTCAAGACCCAGGAGAGTTTGGGTTACGTTGCTCATGGGCCCAAAACTGCAGAGAGAATAAGATGGGAAGTACAACCTTTCGTTTTGGTCTTTGTTGTTAAGTGCCGTGGAGTCGGTTCCAACTCATAGCAACCCTGCACAGGGTTTCCGAGGCTGTAAATCTTTACGGGAGCAGAAAGCCTCATCTTTCTCCCGCGGAGCGGCTGGTAGTTTCAAACTGCTGGCCTTAAGGTTCACAGCCCGATTCGTAACCACTACGCTACCAGAGCTCCTCAGGCAGTGCTGCTTATAATTCAGAACAGTGAAGCCACTCAGTGTTTACTTAAAGTTCTCTGAGGGACCCTGGTAGAGTAGGTTACACGTTTGGCTGCTAACTGCAAGGTTAGCAGTTTTGAACTCATCAGCTGCTCCGTGGGAGAAAGATGAGACTTTCTGCTCCCATAATGATTTATAGCTTTAGAAATCCTATATAGGGTTGCTATGAGTCAGAACTGACTCAATGGTACACCACCGCCATCAAGCATGAGACAAAATGAAATCGGAGTCGTGGAGCAGGCTGGGAGATAAATCTGAGTTATACATGCACCATATGCCATCTTGACAACCCGGGCTTTACGCTATGTGTACTGTGTGATTTATTCCAGAACTTTATGTGAAGTTAAGTGGAAAACCTTTGGTCTTTGTATACTTGATGGGAGTAACTTAACTTCCTATTCCAAACCATACCAAACTCATTGCCATTGAGTTGATCCAAACTCAGAGTACCCCTAAAGATAGAGTAGAACTGCCCCATGGAGTTTCTGAGGCTGTAAATCTGTGGAAATAAACTGCTTTGTCTTCTCCCACTGAGTAGCTGGTGGATATGAACCTACCTTTAGGTTAGCAGACCCTATGTGTTTAACACACTACACTACCAAGGCTCCTTTTAACCTCCCATAGTTGCTACTGCATGCTGTTGAGTCTTTTCTGATGCATAGTGACCTGTATAAGGTTTCCAGGGTATCAATTTTTACAGAAGCAGAAGCCTCATATTTCTCCTATGGAGTGACTAGTGAATTTGAACTGCTGACCTTGTGATTCGGAGTCCAATGCATAATTTGCTACTCTACCATGGCTCTATTTTAGCTTTTTCCAATAGGATTGGGATATAGTGAGCTGAAATGGACTGGTATTGGCCATTTTGAATATGACATATGACTTACTCTGCCGGAAATGACAGAATGAAGAGGAATGGCATTGCATTCATTATTAAAAAGAACATATCAAGATCAGTCATGAAATACAATATTGTCTGTGATAGGATAATACCTATATGCCTATAAGGAAGACCAGTTAATACCACTGTTATTCAAGTTTACACACCAACCACTAAAGCCAGTGATGATGAAATTAAAGAATTCTACCAACTTCTTCAGTCTGAAATTGATCAAACATGCAATCAAGATGTATTGATAATTACTGGCGATTGGAATGCAAAAGTTGGAAACAGGAAGGATCAGTAGTTGGAAAATATGACCTTGGGATAGAAATGATGCTGGAGATCACATGATAGAATTTGGCAAGACCAATAATGACTTCATTGCAAATACCTTTTTTCAACAACATAAAATACAACTGTACACATGGAGCTTGCCAGATAGAATACACAGAAATCAAATTAACTACATCTGTACAAAGATATGGTTGAAAAGCTCCGTATCATCAGCTAAAACAAAGCCAGGGGCAGACTGTGGAACAGACCTTTAATTGCTCATATGCAAATTCAGGCTGAAGCTGAAGAAAATTAAAGCAAGTCCATGGGAGCCAAAACATGACCTTGAATATATCCCACCTGAATTTAGAGATCATTTGAAGAACGGATTTGATGGAGTAGATGCTAGAGAACGAAGACCAGAAGAGTTGTGGGATGACATCAAGAACACAGGAAGAAAGCAAAAAGTCATTAAGAAGAAAGAAAGAAATGACCAAAATGGATGTCAGAAAAGACTCTGAAAGTTTCTCTCCAGTGTAGAGATGCTAAAGCAGATGAAAGAAGTGAGGCGGTATAAAAGCTAAACAGAAAATTTCAAAGGTCAGCTTGAGAAGACAAGGTCAAATAAATATAACTAAATGTGCAAAGACTTGGAGTTAGAAAACTAAAAGGGAAGAACATGCTCAACATTTCTCAAGCTGAAGAAACTGAAGGAAAAATTCAAACCTTGACATGTGATATTGAAAGATTCTATAGGCAAAACACTTAATGATGCAGAAAGCCTCAGAAGATGATGAAAGGAATATACATAGCTACTCTTCCAAAAAGAAATGGTCGATGTCCAGCCATTTTCAAGAGGTAGCATATGATCAAGAGCCAATGATCCTAAAAGAAGTCCAAGGTGTATTGAAGTCATTGGCAAAGAGCAAGATACCGGGAATTGATCGAATGCAAATTTAAATGTTTCAACAAAATGATGCGGCACTGAAGCACTCACTCATCTATGCTAAGAAATTTGGAAGACAACTACCTGGCCAACTGACTGGAAGAGATCTGTATTTGTGCCCATTCCAAAGAGGTGACTTGATGGAATGCAGAAATCATCAGACAATATCTTTGATATCCCATGCGAGTAAACTTTTACTAAAGATAATGCAAAAACAGCTGCAACCATACATTTACAAGAGAACGTCCAGAGGTTCAAACCAGATTCAGAAGAAGACGTGGAATGAGGAATACCATTGCTGACGTCAGATGGATGTTGGCTGAAAGCAGAGAATAGCAGAAAGATTTTTACCTGTGCTTTATTGATTACACAAAAAGTCTTTTGATAATGTGGGTCATGTCAAGCTATGGACAACATTGGGAAGTATGAGTATTCTAGAACATTTAATTGTGCTCATGAGGAATCTGTACATAGACCAAGAGGCAGTTAGAACAGAACTAGGAACACCGAATGGTTTAAAGAGCTGAAGAACAAAGATGTCAGCTTGAGGACTAAGGTGCACCTGACCTAAGCCATGATATTTTCAGTAACTTCATATGCATGCAAAGAAGACCATAGAAGAATTGACACATTTGAGTTAGGTGTTGGAGGAAAACACTGAAAGTACCAAGGACTGCCAAAAGAACAAATAGTTGTGTTGGAAGAAGTGCAGCTAGAGTGCTCCTTGGAGGTCAGATGACCAGACTTTCTCTCTCATACTTCAGACATATTGTCAGGAGGGACCAGTCTCTGAAAGTGGAGGGTCAGAGAAAAAAGAGGAAGACCTGTAGCAAGATGGATTGGCACAGTGGTAGCATCAATGGGCTCAAACATGGTAGCCATTGTGAGGTTGGCCCAGGACTGGGCAGTATTTAGTTCTGTTGTGCACAAGATCAGTATGAGTCAGTACCAATTTGTTGGCACCTAACAACAACAACATATATGTTGGGATGGCAGAAGTCTATCTCTCTTGACCTCTGGTGGCCACAGACTCACATGACAGGCCTGAATAAGGAAACAAATGAAGTTCCCATTTGAGTGCTTGTATAATATCAGGCAATTAGACTTTATATGATTATTTAATCCTCATAGGAACACTCTGAGAATAGTAGACAGTATCCTCTTCGGTTTATAAAAAGTGAGGTAACAATCTGAAAAGTAACTTGTCCAGAATCAAAGTTCAAGTAAGTGATACACCCTTGGATTATATTTCAGATTTGTCACATTCCAAAGCCTGTGTTTTTCTTTATACTGGTAGTAGGAAACAAGCTTCAAATAGAAAAAGGGAGAAACTGAGGTATTTTTAGGAAGTTAAGTAGTCCTTGAAAGGGAACGACTGAGGTGGGTATAAAGTAGGTGTGAGAACAGATAGCAAAAAGGATGGTTGGCCCTAATTACAGTTTAATTAGCTCTTGACTACTGATTGGTTCATAGGGAATTGGGGATCCCTGGGAGTGGGGTAAGGGTTATTAAGTGCCATCAAGTCTGCTCCCACTTTATGGGGTTTCTGAGGAGTTGCTGGTGGATTTGACCTTGCCTTAGCAGTAACCGTGGGAGGAGACAAATTAGAGGAAATGGATCTTTTCTCCTAGTTTTCCTTCAGTCTCATCTGGCATCAAATTCTGGTCATAGACAATGGTTTGATTTAAGGAGACTGGCTGGCCATCCAAAGAAACTTTGGTTTTGTCCTTCCTTCCCTCTTTCCCCTAATGAAAGACAATGTGGTTGGAAGGAACACCCAACCAGGACCGAGGAGACCAGTGTTCTAGTCAGGCCTCTAGTGTGAGCAGATGAAGACCCAGCAATGTCAGTGATTCAGAGGTATGGTGGCTAAAACAGCACGCATTTATTCATAGAGGATAAGAAGAGATTGTTTTCTCAGGACAAGAGTGGGAGCCAGGCCCACAGAGCTGACCTACTTGGAGGTCTTAGCAAGGGTCTGAAGCTGTCATCTGAAATTTGGCTTCCAGGGTCCTTTAGCTTGTGACATGTCTTTTACTGATTTAGAAAAAGAGGGTGGGAAGACAGTGGCTGCATGCAAGTCTGGATTGATGGTGGGTTGTAAGACAGGTCTTCCCTGAATTCTTAGCTTTTTTTCTTGTTCCATCTTGGTGTTGGACTTTGCAGCAAACAAGGGACTTAACTGTACAAGCTGAAAGTCTTGGATACCTAACTCTTCAAGGCTTTCAGGTTCATTCCGGAATCTTGTAGGCTCTGGCTTTGCCTTGGTCTTAGGTTCCTCATATACAAAGAGGACCTTGTTCTTCAGTTTTTTTCGAATCCAGGGCTCAGTTGAGGCCAAAAGGATTAATGTTTTTTGTAGCTGCATTGAAACAAAGGCCCTGGGGCTGGCACTCAGGCTAGAAAAGAAGGGGGCCCCAAAAGAAGGAGTTCTGGCCATAGGCCAGTGTGACCCCAAGAAGTGAGGTCAAGGGACAGTGTGTGAGGGTTCATTCCCCACTCCCTCTTGACAGAAGGTAGTGGTGAGGATGTGGGGGGCTCTTGGAGGAGAGGTAGAGAAGAGGAAGGTAGGAAGGAATGGCTTACATTCTCCTTCATTTCCTGGCTCTTTTCTGCATCTAGCATGTCTAGGAGCAAGTGGTACACCTGTGGACTGCGGATGCCCAGGGCACCCTGGCAGAGGCATAGTGAGAAGTAGACTTTTGAGGGCTAAGCTCAGAACTAGTGAAAGTATTCTTTCTACTCCTATTGTGACCCTGCTCACAGGCTCCCCCTTCCCCCAAAATATCCTTGTCACTCCTCATTGTATGCAGTTCCACTGCCCTTATTCACTAGAAGAATCAAGATCATTTCTGCAGTATCAAAACTATGCCACCACCACACTGTGTCCCTTATCGTATCCACCCCTAAGTTGAATGAAGAAAAGGTTACCCTGGAGTATCTCGGCACCTTTGGAATCTAAAATGAGCAAGTAAGCAAGTGACTTCGTCAAACATTACAGACCTTGCTTTTCTCAGGAACTGCTCAATTTCCTACTCCCTCTGCACATCTTGAATTCAGGTCAGAGAAGTAGAGCTGGCCTTACCAAAGAGATGACTGCTTCCTGGCGTGCAGTGGTACTTGGGCTCATCAGTTGCCTATGTAGAAGGGAGTGAGTATGTTCAATTACAGGATAGAGTGGGGAGGCTAATGGCTGCTTCTCACAGACATAATGCCAACAAGTGTTCATCAAGGAATGGACTGGGAGGAGGGAAAGCAAGTACTATAATCCACTTGTTGTTGTTGTTAAGTGCCATTGAGTCGGGTCCGACCCATAGCGACCCTGTATAGGGTTTCCAAGGGTGTAAATCTTTACGGGAGTAGAAAGCCTCATCTTACTCCCGTGGAGTGGCTGGTAGTTTCGAACCGCTGACCTTAAGGTTCGCAGCCCGATTCGTAATCCACTAGAAGACACTAAATGCTGATTAGGACTCACATCTGTCCACAACTTTACCTTTTACAAGCCCATTTAAGCTTTATTAACAACCCTGAGTGGTAAGTATTCTAGGCTCCTTTTTTACAGATGAAAAGCCCAGGGTTAATGAGAACTGAGATTCTGCAGCGGGTTCCCACTCCCTGAGCCCCTTGCTCCTTTCCCACAGCTTAGGGTTTGGCCCTGGCGGTTCCCAGCCCAGCCCACTCGCCTCCACCAGGTTCATCATCATAGGTTCCCAGCCCAGGCCACTCACGCCTCCACCAGGTTCATCATCATAGGCTTCATCTTGAGTTGCTCCACAGTGTCAGCCACAGCCTTCCTCATGGCCTGCAGAGGCATCAAGCGGGAGACTATAGAGACGGAGTGCGGTTATACACATCTAAGTGTGTCATGAGACTTCACTGAACACTTATTCTGTTCTCCACATGGTCTCTGCCTTGATGAGTTCAGAGTCTGGGGGTAGCGGGGGAAGCAGACAAATAATGGAATTACACTACTGTCTTAGTGTCAGCCTTTGTCGTTAAGTGCCATCGAGTCGGTTCCAACTCATAGCAATCCTGGTGGGGATCAGAAAAGTTATTTGGAGAATCCCGAAAGGTAAGTGGGAGTTTGAAGAGTCCCAGTTTGGTTGCCTTGCTAAGCTGAATCAAAATGCACTTAGAGTCATAATGCTGGACCAGCAGGTGTCTGTGAGGCCATGGCTGCCCTAAGACTGGTAAGCAGGGCTCAGAAAGGGCATTGTAAGCCATCTTGAAGACAATAAGGAGCCACTGAATAGTTGTGTCCTTCCTTGCCTCTTTCCCCTAATGAAAGACAATGTGGTTGGAAGGAACACCCAACCAGGACCTCCAAGGAGACCAGTGTTCCAGTCAGGTCTCTATCTGTAGTCAAGTTATAATCATTTATATTTCAGAAAAATGTCTCGGGAAGGACTGTGACTAGTTCTGTCACGAGTTATAATAAAGGTAAAGTGCACAGAAACCTAGAGGAAGGCAGGGTTGATTGTGTTTGTGGCAATTTGAGAAGGTTGCCCTGAAGAGGAGTTGTTTGGACTGGCCTTGAAGGAAGAATAATATTTTACTAGGCAGGAGGAGAGAGGGTTACTAACCTGTGGCAGGGAAAGAATGAGGCAGTTTTTTACCTTGCAGAAGAGAGAGGGAGGACTCGGTATTTAAAATCGAGTGACCTGGTCGCTTAAAAATATGGGCTGCACCGGGACCATGGAATGGATTTGGGTGAATGTGATACTTAGAGTGGGGAACGCTAAGTCAAGGGACTGAGAGGAGGCAGGTTTGCACTGCCTGGGTTTGGGAGCTTCCGTGACACTCACCAGGAAGGGTTCATTATACATCTTCTTCCTGAGCAGGTCAAATGTGAGACTCTCCAGCCCCTCTACCTGGATCCTTTCCAGCCCAATGGTCTTGAGCATCTTGGTGGCTTCCAAGCGGTGCTGAGGGCAGAGGTGAGAAAGACATGCGGGAGAGACCCTTTCTTCTCCCAAGCCGTGTCTTAGTGCTGGAGCAGGAAGGGTACACCGCAGCCCCTGAGCTTACCTCAAGGACATTGGAAGAGCACAGTTGCTCTAGGATGGCCTTGATGACTGTACTTGAGTGTACCTGCATCTTGACCAACATCATAAGAGCCTATGGGGGGGCGGGGGGGGGCGGGACCAAGAGAAGTGTGGATGGCTATGCTGAGTTGGCAGCTAAGCTTACAACTGATGATGGAGCAGGTGGGGCTATCTCCTGCCTCTTGGCCTTTTAGGTGCGGCAGAAGTTGATGTGTGCACGCTTTTCCATCCCCTCACACCTTCATCCGCTGGGCCTTAGGCCCTTGGCCCAGGCACTGCAGCAGGAACTCTTGTGCCTCCTTGTTGCAGGGCCTCAGGAAAGCCAAGCACAGGGCTGCCTCCAGAGCCATTTCCTTTGGCAACGCTTTCATCAGCATCTGGAGCAGAGCCACCAGCTTCCCTTCATCCCCCACTTGAGACCGCTAAAAGGGAAATAGGAAGAATGGGTGAAGTGTGTGGCTGTGTCCTCAGCCAGGCTTTGTACTTTGTAAGAGGTCAAGACAGCATTACTTTCAGACCATTCTCCCTCCTCTCTAAAATGCATCACATCATTCCTTCTATTTCCTCTTATTTTTACAGACACTGATTGGCTTCTCTCTGATTTCATCTCCTAGATCACTGCTACTCTTTAACACTTGAGTCTTAATTCGTGGCATTTACAAAATATATACATATAATTGATATAACACCTCTCTTTCAATGACTTTATCATCCACTTTACTCCAGCCACCAATTCCCATAGAGAGACCTCATAACTGCAACTTCTCCCTAATCTCCATTCCATGGACCTCGCTCTGACCATCACTTCATCTTTTCCGCTCACCTCCTGCACTACCAGGATGTCAAAAATAACTTGACTCCCTGCAGACAATCCTACTACCTCCCTTGTCACTGCTCCTCACTTTTCTTCTTTACCCTGCTTAAATTGCAAGGTCCAGCTATAATTCACTCCCTTGCCTCGTACTGAATTCCTTTACCTCCTCCTGCTTCATTGTATTCCCTTAACAAAACTGGAGTCCTGGTTCAATCCACTTCTGCCTGTTTGTCCTGCAGAAGGCACAGTCATGGCAACTGGTCTTGCTTTACATATATGGGCACAAAGCTCACATAGAGAGAGTCATGCTGCTGGCAAGCATACTCTTTTCCCTGCACAAATCTCTTAGCTTTTCTAGTTCACATTTTTGTTCTCACTCTGGTAAGACTGTCCAGGTGAGCTGAAGACCTTGTTTCTTACTTCACCAAGAAAATACAAGAACTAGAAAAGAAGTTCTAATAGACGTCTACCACCACTTTCAGCGACCAATACCTGCACCCATATGCTTTTGTTTCCAATTTTTATTATGGACTATGACCATCCATCTAACGTCAGTCACTCTGTATGTTAGACCTCATCCCCTCTCAGCCACTCAAGGACTTTGCTGCCGCAACTCTCCCCACTCTCTTCAAATCATTTTTTCTAACAGCAGGATTGTTCCCCTCAGCATGCTGTTCCTTTTTCTCTTTTCTAGAGTCACCTCTGGTGTAAACTGCTCCCCTTTCCAGAAAAACTCCTTGAAAAGTTACCCATACTTGCAGTCTCTAATTTCTTGCCTCCCATGCTCTCTCTCTCTCTTTTTTTTTATATAAAGGTTTTTATTTTGGATTGAGTGAAAGTTTACAGGGCACATCATCAGTTTCACATTCAACCATTCATATAACTTGTTTCATTACATTGATTATACTCCCCTCCATATAT